TACCTTTGAACGCGGATATCTCAACAACGAGAGCAGCTATCGATAAACCGAGTAAAGATCTGAAATCCTAGCGTAAATCTGCACAAAATAGCTTCTTTCGATCTTCTATAGCCAGCTTAGTAGCGTAGCTAGCTAACCGCGATCCTACTACCGCGATCCTACGCCTCGCTTCTTATCGCTCTCTTATCGCTACTAACAACACAGCGCGATTGTAGTGCAATCGCGCACATCCTCTAGGGTAGGTATATATCATCCCTCTGGGAGTCTTGATAGCTCCTCAAGGATTCGTCTCAATACAAGCCTATACCGATATCTTAGTGCCTGCCCAAGTACTCCTCACACACGCACGGTACGCTGGAATGCGCAAAAACAACTCAATCGCCAAGCCCCCACACCGTCACAGCGTGGGATCGTTCACAATTGCGTGGCGAGAACGCGCGAAAATAACTCGTTTTTCACAAGTTAGAATAATCTGTATTCGACTTTCCTTCGACAAGTACATCTCATTCGCTTGAACAGCCTTCAGTCAGACCAGCCACCAGAACGATCCTGGGACCTGGACAAAGCGTTCGTCATCCGATCTCCCAAATTAGACCACGTGCTCAGAAAGACTCCGTGGCGCCAAAAGAAACAAATATCGCCGCACAGGCCTCCCTGGCGGGATTGAAAAAATCGTTGCATCGTCGAAAGACGACTGCTAAACGGCGCAGAAGTCGCGCAAATTGCGGGGTTTTGCCTGCCACCCCTCCATCTTTGAGAAGCGGGGCCACCCTTTCTTAGTTCGAACCACCGCCGTTTCTAGCCTCTTGATATCAGATTGTCAAGGTTGTCTGCGAAAAGGTGAGACGCGAGGTGGCATAGTGGCTAAGTGACCACATGATGGAGCAGGGCGTTGCTAATTGGCTAACTCGTGTTTGTCAGCGATAGAACAGCTCACCAGTTGCTTTATTTGGCGTTGCTTTGACGTGAGTGCATTGTGCCGTCCAGGTGAGACACCGATGAGCGTTGAGGACCCAAAATAGCTGGTGACCTCGGCCACCTGTTCGCAAGGAAACGCACTTGACGGACTTTGCCATTGGTGGCGCACGAACGCCGGTTCCTAAAAGTTTTAATTGGGCATGGCACAACGTACGAGCCCCACTCACCCTCAACTCATATATGCCCACGCCCTTCATGATAGCAAGAAGTTTCCGGCGCAGANTTTACACTTCACCCTTCGAATTGCATCTCGGTCTCTCGATCATGACTTCTGATTCGCCCACAACCGTCGTAGCAAGCCCAAGGGTGCACCAACTTCTTCAGAGGCTGCACTCATTGTCGGAAACCCAAGAGAAGTCCTTCTCTCAGATATTCTTTTACGTATCTCGGCTTGTTCGCTTCTTGGTGTTCCGTGAGATATGGTCCTCTGCGGCTGAGGAGCACATGAAGGACAAATTTGTTGCTTTAGATGCCGGCAAATGTCGATTTATCTATCTCTTGGCAAGGAGTCTGGGAGCACGCAACGTGGTTGAGGCGGGTACTAGTTTTGGGGTCTCGACGATATATTTGGCGTTGGCTGTGGGTCAGAATATGGCTCAAGGAAAGAGCTCTCTTGGAGCTACCACAATCGCAGGGAAGGTGATTGCTACAGAAAAGGAACATGCCAAGGCAGTCAGAGCGAGGGAATATTGGAAGGAGGCGGGAGATGAAGTAGAACCGTGGATTGAGCTCCGCGAGGGGGATTTGCTGGAAACCCTGAAACTTGAAGAGGGTATGCCGCAGGAAATTGACTTGCTGCTGTTGGATAGTAAGCTACACTTTGGCTTCATTCCCTCTAACTTTGCAATCACCTCTTAAGAATGCAGGCTGATATCACACAGTCTGGACGCCTCTAGCCCTTCCTACCCTCAAGATCGTTCAACCAAGGCTCAAACGCGGCGCGGTCGTCATCACAGACAATGTGGGTGTCGCAAAATTCTTATATAAGGAGTACCTTGAGTATATTCGACGTCCAGAGCATGGGTTTAGAACCCTGACAATACCTTTCAGTGGGGGATTGGAGGTGTCGGTGTATTTGCCGCAGGAATGAGCAGTTGCTAGGCAACGTACATAGGACAAATGCAATTTTAAGTCAAAGAACTTTACAGGCAACAGAGATAACGGGAAGAGCGAGATGCACTTCGTGGACATAATGATCTGGACTTGTTTCAGGTACCAATTACACCTATATCCTATGAAAGGAACCAAGATCTCCCTTCACCAACACAAGCACTCTCTCTCAACAGTGCTTTCATATCTTCGTTTCTCTCTTTCACATTCCTTCGTTTTATTTTTCATCTTGCCAGCAAAGCAGATCACGTTGGCCGTGCAACTAATTAACAACCTCTACTCTCGACTAAGTAGCATACATTTTTATACCTTTCGTATAATTTTAGCCTGCCGGACCCTCTCCCTCTCCGCCCTCCCTAGCTAACATACACAATCATTCAGAATGCCGGGTAGGACCTGGGTAGAGGAACATAGAATTAAAAGTATACTTTTTGCTATATAAATCATTACTTTAGTACCATAATTCCAACGAAACCCTTAACATAAAGCAAACCCTTGTGCTGCTTAATTACATCGTACCGGCTTTCACCCTACCCACATCCACTAACAAAAAAGAAGAGGAAAAGGCCACTAATAAAAGACAAAACACGCAATGAGAAAGAAATTAGACCCATTCCCTTTTTCTGACCTGTCTCAAATTCCCTTCCAACTCAGCTCGCTTCTGTAGACACGTCTAGTCTAGTCCGGATTAAGATCACACTATCCTCAGTATCCTGTTTGATACGGCTGTTGCTGATCCATTCCTAGCTGGGCAGGCGGTGGTGGCGGCACGTAATATTGCTGCTGCTGCTCGTTTCCTGTAGCCCTACCAGGCTCAAGAGTGGGTTGGCTCTGTAATTTTCTTTGCTGGATTCGCCTCCAAATAAAGTAGATCACTGCGACGACAAGGACTAGGAAGACGGCGATGATAACGATGGCAACTAACACGCCGACGGAGACTTTCCTGCTGGACTTCTTTCTTGAGCTGAAGGGATATTAATAGAGCTTCATAGACGAGTAAAATGCGGAGAACTTACGAAGTGTACGAGTTTCGGACAATTTTCTCGCCACGTGATAAGAGGGGAAAGGCAAAGGATTGCCCGAATAGGCCGAGAAGCAGGACCTTGAGAATGATAGCCGTTTCCATTGCTTGAGTTGAGTATATAGTAGAGTGATAGAGCGGAATAAAATATGTGAAAGAGTTTTGGAGTGTTGCAGTCAACGGGGTTTTAAGGTCAATTGATCTTGTGTCAAGTAGACACTGGTAATATATCCAAAGTCCAGAGGCTGTGAAGGGAGGAGCAGCGTGCTAAACATGGCCTGAGAGCAATGTTCTGACCCTTCAACCAGGTCCACATTGCCACAGTGGTGTGGTTCTTGGATACGGAGTATTGGTTTTGTGGGAGGAACACAAACTTCACGATCTCAAACGGTCGTATGATACTTCAAGGCTTACTACGTACTCCGCTGTACAACGTACGAGTAGACTTCGGAAGGTGGCTCCACATATCACTATTGTAGGGACTGGCTCGCCACACTTATCGGCGCAGCCAAGTTGGGTGGTGATTGGGGCGCGCGCGAACGTATGATCAGTGCTGTGGCTGTGCTACGAAAATCAAAGATGCCTGATCAACCTCCTCAACCTGCAATCATGCGCTGGCACACTGGGTAGTACCACGGACAACCCCAGTCAGCCTCTCGAAATTGCCTAGTCATTCGCTCTAGCGTCCAGCGATCAACGTTCTTTCCCGCGCAGCATAGCCCGATTTTTATATTCACCACTAGTGCGAGGCAGCGCTCACTCGACCCATACTTTAATCACGAGCTGGTTGGTTGGTTGGTTGGTTGGTTGATTCCTACACGGTCTCAGCCGCGAATCGCGGCTATGCCCGGTTGACAGGCGTGGCAGACAGCCGACGCGGTGCAGACCTTGATCCGCACCGCCCCACTTCACTCTCGAAAGAGCCATCTGTCCCCAGAGGCCTGCCGTATCTGGCTTCTATCTACGACTATGTACATTTCGTCTCTAGAAGTGACGTGTTTGCCTGTGTTTGTGTTCCTCAAATTGTCTTCCTGTGTGTGTATGCCGTACTCGAAGCCTCATGTGTGTAACGTTGTTTCAAGGCTCGTAGAGGCAAGGTTGCCTCATGCTTTGCGACCGCAATACCTTCAGTCTCCCCCTAGCGTTCAGCTGTCGTATGTGCTAGCTTGCCCTCGTGCCCCAGAGCCTGCAATATGTTCTCCAAACTCCGATATCCTTCAGTGTTGTGATGCCGTCCACTAGGTCCCTATGCGGCTGTGTGTTGTGGTGTGACCTGCCATCGGGCGCGGCGGCAGCAGCATTTCGTCATAACGCGGCTCCACCAGGGCGATGCTCTGCTCGTGCGTGCCGTCGAGCCTACTGAGCATGAGAGCTCCCACGCGAATCTCCTCAGACCTAGTCGAGTGTGTCGAAGGGGCACCACTCCCTCAACACGTAGGGCGACAGGGGACGAGGCTGTCTGATGATCGGTAAGTGTATTGTGGCACCGATGGTAGCGTGCCGGATGTCTGTGAGGTGATTCGCGTGAAAGGTGATGCTGTTCAGCCCGAGGGCTCGTCGATGCGGGACGTTACAGACATTGTCGGTTGGTGATAGGCTGACCAGGAAGCCCATCAGTGACTGCTGTGTGTTGTTGCTGTTGCGCTCAAAAAGTGTCTGGGCTCCGTCGTCGCGTCTTGCATTGCCGTGTCGTGGCTAGATGGCTGCCGCTGCGTTTGGTGGACGCGTCATGTTAAGTAGCTTGCTCGCAGATTTTGCTCGTCTGTGTCTGCCAGGGCCGCAACAACGACTCTACAGGTGCCAAACCGACGCGGGGGGACGCGTGATGGCCTGTAGAGACTATTGCGGCCGCTGGCAGATGTTGTTGAGGCTGTTGTGATAGCTAATTCCAAAAATTGATTTCTCGTGTTTGTCGTGTTTTCAATCACGAGCTGGCTCCTTTGGGAGTGACGTGGGGCGGCATCGGATTAACGTTCGTGCCGCGTCGGCTGTCAGCCAAGCCAGCCAACCGGGCATAGCTGCGGAGAAAACGCGGCTGAAACCGAGTAGGAATTCATCATCATCATCATGTGGCCGTGCTCAGCCGCTTGGTCGGTACACGAACTCGTAGTAGGAAGCTGATTCAGCCTTATTAGAGTAGCGCACAAATAACCAGATCATACTGTGAAGGGGAGCAGCACATGAGTTTAATGTGGGCTCATGTGGGCTCATGTGGCTGTTGAGCAAATCTCCTGATCGTACGATAAGGTGCATACTGTCACAGTGCTATCATATCACATGTTCTACGTGAGCTGTGAAATACGTAAGATAACAAGCCTCAGCGAAATCGGTTAGCCATCCCCCCTGTCAAACATACGAAGGTGAAGTTGATTTACAGTAGGCTTATCAGTGGCAAAGCACAAACCCCGCAGCCGCCGCCCTGGGGGGAATCTCTCGCTTAGCGATCCGGACGCAACGCATAAAACCCACAGCGTATGAAAGGAGGAATTCGATGGGTTGTCGCGCAAGTCTCCTGATCGCATCATCATACCACCGTCGCATAATGACATACATTCTTTGTGAGTGGGCATGCATCCGCTCCACATTTCTCAGCCACTGTCCTGCTTCTGGTCGAGATGAACGTGATATCAAAATCGCTTGGGCCACGGGTGTTCAACCAAACGTGACCTCTCGCTGGGTGACTAGAACGTTCAGTTGTTTGTACTCCGAGTTGATAAATAGGCATTGCCTCTCGGGGCTAGAGAAATTATAAAAAAATATTAGTCATCTTTGAAAACGCAACTCTATTGCACTAAAAGAGCATCCTCTTCTTATAACTTTTGCTTCATAGCATTCATTATGCTCTCAGTCAGATTTGGCTCGGCACAAATAGCGCTTCCTACTCCAGACCCCAAGTCTGGACTTAGTCACTCCAATGGTCCTGGAGCTACTATTCTCTTTGCTGTCATTGGTGTAATGTTTGCGTTGGTTCTGATTGCCATAACGATCGGAGTTTTCAGAGCCCACCAGAATCCCGAGCGGTACGGCCCTCAACCAGCAAGGCCAGGACGGCCAAAGCAAAGCCGAGCGAAGGGCCTCACAAGAGCCGTGATTGAGAGCATCCCAATTGTCAGATTTAGCGAGAACAACGACAATGACGCAAACGCAGCCGCCCAGAGAGATATCGAGCTGGCGGTCGCTAATCCAGACAATCGTACCCAATCGGCCACCGTTGACGCCAATAACCCTTCTTCCGACCCCTACGCAATTATCGTCAACTCTAACATAAGCACTAATGCACCGGCGACGACGACTGAAGGTCTATCAGCTGCTCAACCAACTTTCCAGACTCGTTCCGGCAGCCTCGAATGCTCAATATGCTTAGAGGTATTTGTCGAAAACGAAGAGATTCGTGTACTCCCCTGTAACCACAAATTTCACCCCGTCTGTATCGATCCTTGGCTTCTGAATGTATCAGGAACATGCCCTATATGGTAAGCTGCACCTTTTCACTTCTAAAATTACCTTATTGACTTCGGCTAGCCGCTACGACCTCCGTCCCCATACTACTGACTCGAACACCGCAGCTACCTCAACCGATGAACCTCTTCCTCCACCTCCACCATACGAAGTCAGCGACAACATTCCAGCCATATTGAGATTCCGCGAACTCCGCCGGGCGCACGCCGGCCCCGAAGAGTATATTGCTGCACTTCGCCAGTTATACCATGAACTCGAGAACCACCGCGCATCTCATGCTTCCACTAGTACTGAAGCTGCTGCGCATCAGGAAACAAGGCCAACGTCAAGGTTACGTGATGCATTCCACATACAGACAGGGCCACCTGAATCGCACCAGACCCTGCCAGACGACGTAATAAGAGCGCTGAGCCCACCATCACGGATCGTATAGTCTTTTCATCTAGCAAATGAAACTTCATTCACTGATTCCAAATCGTAATATCGCGCAAACTCTTTCTTAAATCTTTTGTACTAACCTCCCTCCCCGCGGGTAGAACATCCCACCGCGCAGAACTATGAAAATCTTCAAGCGACACCACTCAGCAGCCTACTATCTCATCAAGTTCAATCCGATCTGTTAGTGTACTTATTAGGTAGTAAAACTCACCTCGAACATCAAAAAGGAAAATTACAGCAGTCTTGGTGAAATTACAGGGAATTTATATGCAACGCCGTGCACTACGACCACGACCCACCCCTGTCTCCCCGTCCGACACGACGACAGTCGCTATCTCGGAGGCTTTAGGACATTCGTTAGTGTGTCTAACAGCTACCCTCAAGTTGCGAAGCTGTGCAGCGACCTATAAGAGCTCCTCCGAAATTGTCCGCGGAGACAAGCAAGCTCCCGCATTCGAGCAAGCAATGTTCGCGTGCTGAGAAAGCACGTTCTGTACATGTAGCGGCCTACATTGTACACATGCGCTATGCTGGAATCGCTCAAGCTGTGGCGCACGCTTCTCGAAGCTTCTCTTCTCGCGTGCTGCGCCTGCTAGCTATTCTTAGAAGTCGAGGGTGAGCAAGGCGAAAGTGAGGCTATTGTTAACCTCCACCGCATCTAGCGATATGGACCTAGGCAGCCGAGCTCTGGCGCGCTGTCCGATTAGGAGGATAACATAAGTTATAGTTACGCTCATGAAAGTTGTCAATGTAAGCGTCGCATAAGTCTTCTTCGAGTTTTCTAAATAATTTTTAAAATTCATCGCTGCTTCTCGGTGGATGCTTGAAGTCATGTCTTTGGCATACGTTTAATATGTGAACGCAGTACCTCAACGGTGTCTCTGTGTCCGTCTCGTGCCGCCGACATCAGCGGCGTCCTTCCGATGCTGTCTATCGCCTCAACGTCAGCCTTACCAACGCTAAGCAGTATCTCAACGGTGTCTCTGTGTCCGCCCTGTGCCATCCGCATCAGCGGCGTTGATCCGCTACTGTCCCTCGCATTCAAATCGATCTTCCAAGCCTGGAGTAACAGCACAAGAACATCCCTGTTCCCATTCTCGGCAGCCCTTATCCACCTTGTTGAGTTCAGACGCACGACCAAAGATCAACTTAGAAGAGAGCTTGAAAATGGCGGCTTTATGTCCAGATACATAAAATACAAGGTCCTGCCAAAAGGTCTTTGCATAAGTGTAGAATCTGAATGCGTGCTCTGGCTTGGGGTTGAGGGAGCTGTGCGCTTCCGCGAGAGCTTTGCTCATATCAAATGCATGTTGCCGTCTAGATCCGAGAAACTTTATAGCAAGATGACGAGCAGCGCTTGACGAACCCATAGTGGCTTGCACGATCTTAGATGGTGCAGATTGTGCCATCATTGGATGGACCTTGACTCTCGATAACTCAGTCCCGAAGACACCATAGCCGAGGTACGTGACAACAGTGTCTGCCAACATCCTTTGTGCCTCGTCAAACGAAAAGCCTATATGCTTTACGCCATCAAGCCCATCGAGGACGTACTGCCTAACACTGTGATGTACCATTCGGACGGTGAGCTCTTCCTCATCAACAGCAAGAAGACATCCACAGCAAGCTAGTGCTGAGTAAACATCATTCAGGATTCTGGAAGGATCCCAAGTCGCATCTCCAGGAGTAACGCTCAGAGCTTCACGCAACTCGTCTGTCGTCAAAGGCTGGTAAGCTGCAAGCACAAGCTGCAGCGTCTTCTTTTGGAGTGCTGGATCTGAGCTTCCCGACTTCTGTAGGATCCTGTCGAACGTCTCCGAGAGATCCTTGGGTAGGTCTGCCAATGCTTCTCGGATAGCGTGATCAGTCTTCATACTGCACAAAGACTGGATTTGAAGAGCTACCCAGAAAAACATTCCCTGAGAACCTTTCGACAAAGCATCTTGAATGTCCAAGATCAGGGCTGGATCTCCGATTGTCAGACGTTCTTGGCGAAGACAACGCTCAAGGTCTGCTTCGATAAAAGCGTCAATGTCTGGGTTGTCGTCTGGAATTGTGACAGCGCGAGTGGCCAAGAGTTGATAAGTAATCGACTGCAGGCCATTGTTTGGCTCTTCTCGGAAAGAAGCACAGACCATGACCTTTAGTTTCACCTGGATCTTCCAGATTGCCTGCACTAACGCCTCTTTCTCCTCATTGTCGCATTCGTCTAGGCCGTCAAGCACGAAGTATACTTTGACATCGGAGGAAAAGCCCTGAAAGAGCGTTTCGAGCACTGTCTCGGTGTCGCCTGTGGTGCGAGTATTTTCGCAATTCTTAGCAGATACGCCAAGATCTGCGACAGTACGTAAAAGCTGTTGTGCCAGTGAACCGATGATCGTCCGTACCTCCAGACTTTCTGGAATGTCATGTTTGCAAAAGAAGTATGCCACCAAGGGTGGATCTTTCTCGGTGGAGAGGCTGAGGTCGTCGACGATATTGGCCAGCAACACTGACTTTCCCGAACCCAATTTGCCTGTATACAACAGTGTGCCAGGGTGCGAGCCGTCCCTCCACTCTTGGTACTCTGCTTGTTGCCTATAGAAGGATGTGTTACCGGCCTTTCTGATTTGCTTCCACGCTACCTCATGATCGTACGTAGAGCAAAAGTCGAGCACTCGCATGTTGGCTGCAAGCCTCTGCTCATGTGAGGCATACTTGAACATTTCCCTGGTCAAAGCCCTGACACCAGAGCTCTCTTGCGCTTCACTCACGTCCATCTGCTCCTTGATGGAAGTTGCCCACTTGTCAAGATATGCCTGGAAGGTCCTCAAGTGCGCATCGCTCAGCGAGGACGCAAACTGCTGGACAGTCGATTTCTGTCCGAACTTGAACAGGTAACGACACAAGCCAACTACCACGATAAAGTACTCAGAGAGGTGTGATTGTAGCTTCGTAGACCGAGGGTATAGTAGGGCAATCGCTTGGTAGTGCGGGGCAGAGCGGCCGACGTCCATGAATAGCGAGGATAGCTTGTCAATGTAGGTCGAAAGGTTCACGATCGACTGCTGCGTATCAGTGACTGACTACGACAATGATGCAAGAAGAGGGCACTGACTAATAACGACATGCGCACCAACGACCACACGCCACACGCTAGCAAGTTCTGTGATCCTCCGATCACAACATCTCCAAGAGCAGCGAACTGCTGAACTCCGTGAAGGAAGTTGGTAAAGCGAGGCCCGAAACATGCACTGCTAAACTTCTTTGACGTGCGACGATCAACCTCAGCCGTCAGCTGCATGACATCGCGTGGGCTAGGCGTCGTTGAGAGCGACTGCGACCTCAGCGTTCGGAATGTTGACTTTTGCTCATGCGAGAGGTCGGCTTCGAACTCGGAGACAGCTTGAGCGAGGCGGATCTCAGGCTTCAAGAACGAGGCTTTCGCCAGAGCGCTGGACATAACTGCTGCTAAACAGCTGCAGTACAGCAAGCTGTAGCGCAGTCTTACATCGGCGTTCTCCTGCCTGTTTTGTAGATAAGAGCCGTCTTGTGTGTAAGGGAAAGAGGTTGGTTGGGTGGTCCTCGAGACTGCTCCGCATGCACTAGGGTTGCCGGAGACTGGATTCAAAACAGCGACTGACGAGCCAGTATCTGAGGGTTCAGACTGTGGCAGAGGCGACAAGCGATGCGCAACGACGTGAGAACAAGAAGGATGGAATGCCCACGATCAGGCTGAAAGACAGGTGGAGATGCTGCGCACCAAGCTGAAGCCAACGCCGTCGATGATCTTGACCAGCTCTTCGGCGTGCTCCACTCCATCAAACTGCACCGAGGCATTTTGCGTGAGGAGGGCGACGTTGGCAGATCTCACCCAAGGCTGCTCCTCGAGGGACCTAGTGATCTTGCCGACGCAGGAGCTACAGCTCATTCCGGAAATGGAGAGGGACGCTTGGAAGACTTTGGTGGGCGTCGTGGTCGAATGGACAACGACGAACGGGCTGCCGACGTCCTGTGACGGATCGTTGCTTGCAACTTGAGACCCTTTCTCGGTGATGATGGTCCGAAGGGACGGCATGGCGTCTTCCCGCCCTTGAGCGCGACACTGGTCACAGTGTTCTATATGCCGCATTCTCCTCGTTTCTTCGTCGGCTGTATCCCTCTTGCTCGGATCCCACTTTTGAACAGCTCGTTGAAGCCATTCCAGCCGGACGCCATGGCCGGGTGCGTTGCGGGAGTCGGTCTGCGTAGATGCATCGCCCGATGCAGGGTCCGGGATGACGGCGTGTACGTCGTAGCCGGCCTCGTCGAGCGCTTTGGCTATCGTAGACACAGCCAGCAAAGCATCGTGCTTGACAGTCACGGTGTGGGAGAGGATCGAAGTCGAGACGGAAATGGGTTTGGGACGAAGGCAGAAGAGGAAGGCTTCGACGAAGGAGGCGCAGGAAGGGCAATGAAGACTTGGGATGAGCAAAGTGGTTTGGCGAGGCAATGATGAGGCTGCTGGATTTTGCATGTTTTGAGATAGGCAATTGCTTTTATGGGCAGTTTGCATCGTACGACGGTGAGTGGAAAATCATCTGGATGAATGGGGCGAGCGAAGTGAGAGATGTCGGCGAAGGAAGGGCATGGTTTCTTTCGAATATCGAATTCCGCAGACGTGATTGATAAGCTCCTTTGCAGCAGGTTATCGCCTGGAGAAGGGAGAGAAAGCTTTGCTCATGAGACGCTGCTGTTCGAGGACTGTTCTAGCTGCGCAATTTGTGCGGGAGATTGTGATGTGGTGGCGCACAGATCCTGACGGATCCTGATAGAAGGAGATCTACGTAGACAAAAGACGCTTGAGGCATAGTACGGCTTCCAACTTGGCGCCGAAAACGCCTTGGCGATTGAGCTCCTAAAATGGTGGCTGCCACACAGCCCGCTTTTCAGCCAGTTTAACCGTCGTCCGCGCAAATCCCGCACCGTCACCGGTTTTGATGCCAGCCACGGCGGTTTCAGCTCCTACTCCCTGCTTCCCTCTGGGGAGGACTTAGCGTTGAATATTAAGAAATAACGGCGGTTGGCAAAGGAGTCAACGCCCCTGATGTGTAAGTACTAAGTAGGCTGCCATAGAGCAAAGAAGCGTTTCACTGCATCCTCCTGTTCAGGGTTTAGATGGGAACGGCGTCTGTTTCAGCGCTGTCCCCTGTATTGTAAGATGTAGCAGACGGCCTCTCTTAACGCAATCAAAGACTCTGCGATCAATCCCTTCGCAAAAACAACACAGGAACCACCACAGACGTAGACTGCGAAGGTAGAACAGGTCCGCAGACCCGGCTTTTGCCACCATCCATGAAGCTAACGCCAGAGCGGCTCATCTGATGAATGCTGCTCGTATGGCCTCTGTACGCGCCGTCTTCTCTCGGCCGATTTATAAACAACTCTTCGTTTCGCTGCTCATGCAGTGACCTCTACCTCAAGGCAAATATTAACTAATCGCAATGACGCTGACTACTGTGCCTGTTTCGTGCTCTTATGCCCTTATGGCTTAATCATGACATCTTCTCCAGGAATGTGTACTTAAGCTCAAGCTCAAAGCTCAAAGCTCTAAGGCTCCCCACTTCCTTCCACGCCCTAAAGCATCGATCGTTGATCTGCTTCCCAGCCTTCTTCTTCCTGCTGCATGTCTCTTCTGCACCACAGAATGCTTATGACACTCCATATACCCGCCCAAAGGAACGGTACACCCCAGCCTGCAATACATTAGCTCAGCCTTGAACTATGGATTACCGTTGTGGCCAATACCTACAAATGCCATAGGCCACAGTTGCAGGAACCTCATGTATAACAGCAACAACGGTAAGCGGGATCGCGAGAATGATAGATGGTATCGACCAGAACAAACTCTGGTTCAACATCATCTTCCTGAACCGACGACTGGCCTTATATCTCGCCGCCAACGCCTCCCGATATGGGCGTCCCGCACCTGCATTCACCGCTACGACGTCTTCGACGAAGTAATATGCCCCAGGAAGAACCGTTTCCCCTTTGGCTGTCGAGCTGATGCGAAACGGTGCCTTCCACGCTATAACGTTGAAAAGTGTTAGTATTGCCAGTGCACCGCCCAAAGAATAAAGAATGGCGGGGCCAGGCATGGCCAGCACGCGCAGCCAAACGATATGTGGCACGCTACCTACGATGAAGAGAGCTGTCACCGCCGTGATGCATATGACGCTTGCCCACGTCACGATGTCGAAGCTCCAGCGACTGCTTGTTCCAAGCGGTCTGTAAAACCGCTCTTTCTTCATGAGCCGTAGCGTCCGGATCGCAAACTCGACATATGTCGGGCCACCCCATATAGTTGTCACTATTGCGAATATAATCCAGCCCTCCACGCCCCCTGCGTATCGCATTGCGTAGTATAACGCGATGGGCGCAACGCACCCGTCGGCGAACATCAGGAAGATCAGCAGGCCGAGACGCCATCGTTTCCATCCCTGGCGCCATGTGAAAGGCAACTGAGGCAGCAAGTGTGGGTTTTCATCGTAGTATTCTTCAAGCGTGCTAGCGCGTCGCCGGTACTCTTGCTTTGTAGCTGCGCGGCTATCGTAGTAGACGGAAGCTTCGGGGCGCCCGTCGTAGGTCGAACTCTTGCGACGGGGTGCTGTCTCCAAGCCGGTTGGGCGGAAGTAGGGGGAGGGAGAGGCGAGTACGGCGTCGTCGGGCAATGTTACCGCGTGTGGTGAAAGAGGAGGTTGTATTATTGTCGGACTCGCGGGACTGGTCCGGCTGTGTTCAGAATATGGCCGGTTGCCTCGCATGACTTCTGGCATCTTGTAGGTCAAAACCAAAGAAACGGCTCGAAAGAAAACCGAACATGTACTTGCAAGATATGGGATCTTCTTCACAAGTGATATGGATGCTGATGACGCATCAAAAGGGTGGGGATGGGGGATGGAACTGATCTTTTGAATTGTTTACTGCAGTAGTAAGGATGTCAGTTAAGCTAGGCCACCTAGTGTTCGGCCACCCTAGTGCTCGGCCACCCCACCGAAATCGCGATCTTGTTTTTGAAGCTGTACAACTCAACCAAAACGCTATTAAAATGGATGATCATGAAGTTGCTATCCAAAACGCTATCCGCGATCTTAATGCTGGTGTTTTTAAAAGCCAGCGAGCTGCCTGTCAGGCTTGGGGCGTCCCCCGCGCGACTCTACAAGGCCGCCTCGCAGGTCGCGCTCCTAACGCGATAGCTCATCACCAACAACAGCGATTAACTCCAGGGCAAGAGGAGTTTCTTGTTCAGTGGATCCTCGATGAGGATCTTCGCGCTCAGCCTCCAGCGCACTCCCGTGTACGAGAAATGGCGATCCGAATCCTCCACATGAACGGCGATTACGAACCACTTGGTCACAACTGGGTGTCTTCTTTCCTCCAGCGCAACCCATGCGTCCACAGCGTCGTCGGCCGATCGATCGAAGCTTTACGAGCTGAAGCTGCAAGCCCTGAGCTAATTAGAACCTTCCTAGAGCTCGTAGAGGCGACGCGACTCCGGCTAGGTATACAGCTCCGCGATATATACAATATGGACGAGACTGGGATCGCAATTGGCGTATGTAACAACTCTAGAGTTCTAGCTTCTACCTATAAGCGCAAGGCTTACGTTAAGTCTCCAGAGAACTGAGAGTGGATTACAATTGTCGAGTGTGTATCGGCTGATGGGCGTTCGCTCCGCCCGCTCATAATCTTCAAAGGACAGCGCGTCCTTACGAGCTGGTTTGACAGAGACGTACCAGACTAGCTATACACAACTTCAGAGAACGGCTGGACGAGTAATAGTACTGGCTTAGAGTGGTTACAACGCGTCTTTATCGCAGAAACTTCATCAACACCACCCCGCAATCGCCTACTTGTCCTCGATGGCCACGGCTCCCACGACAATATTGACTTTATGTGGGAGTGCTACCAACAAGGCATACACGTCTTGTACCTCCTGCTCACTCTTCCCATATTTTACAACCGCTCGATCTCTCACCATTTAGCGCAGTTAAGAAAAGCTATCGTCAACAAGTGCGCGCCCTCGCCGCGATTAGCGACGCCGCTCCAGTCAGGAAACGACACTTTGTTAGCTTATACTTTGAAGCGCGACAGCGTGGCTTATCAGAGCGAGTAATACGCGCTGGGTAGCGAGCTTCAGGGATTGCTCCATACAACCCAGAACTGGTGCTTCAATCGTCGCAATTGCAGACTCGGCCAGCAACTCCACCACCTCGCGCGCAGCCAAAATACAGTAGGGAGGCGGTTATAACTACGCCTCGACGGTCTCAGGACTTGTACAAGCTACAACAACAACTTGGGCAGTCAGAACAGCTATCGCGAGCGACGCGATTATTGCTTGCTAAGGCAGGTAAGGCGCTAGCAGCAGCGAATACTCTCAACGCCGCCCTCTATTCAGACAATCTAAAGCTACAACACCAAGCCAATCAGTTAAAGATCAAGAAACCAAAAAAGCGCGTCTATCCAGAGCCAAATAAGCGCTTTGTCAACGTTGAAGCTGCCAAAGCAGCGATGGACGCCGCGGCAGCTCAGGCAACCCAAAACACCAAGAAAGCCACTAGGAAAGCGGCTCAAAAAGCTCCTACGCAGTCTCACGATACTTTATTTAGTTCTATGTGTAACCAGTTTCAAATATAACTTGTTTTGGTTGAGTTTTTCAACTCCAAAAGCATCGCTCACGAATTCGGTGGGGTGGCCGAGCACTAGGGTGGCCGAACACTAGGTGGCCTAGCGTAGCTAACTGTTTGGTTCCAGTGACGTCAGCCAGGCCAAACTGTTCCTGTGGGCAATGGTGATGAGCAACCAACCACGTTCCGCCATCGCACTCACTGCATCTTCCCTTGGCCCTGGGGCATGCTTCAAGTTGCTCATTATGTCGTCACAGTCGGCTTCTTATCGCCTTGGAAGCAGTCGGAGAAGAACCAGGCCGCTTCGGAGGGTCGAAGACACGGTGTGGCTTGGCAAGGGCAAATGAGAGGGGATGATACATTGAAACACAGGAAGTAGTTTGTGAATAGGGTGCGCAGTTCGATACGAGAAGCGCACAGCGGACAGTAGCAGGTTGGAATAAAGAAGAACATCCAGAGAGTCGAATGCTGAGCAACAGTGGTGGATTGCCAACTTGCATTTTGTGAGCGAATGCTCAATAGTAGTGAAACGGGGAAAATACAGTGTCAATAACTGGTTGTCTGTCAACCGTGAGGCGATGAGAAGCACCGCGGATCAAATTTGGCCTCCTGAGTTGCATATCTCTTCTGCAGGTTTGTTGTTGTCAAATCACCAACCTCGGTCTCTCAAGAATGCAACTCCTCTGGCAGTGCGTGGCAGTGTGGCGCTGGATTGGATCGACGATCCGTTCCATCCATTGGCCACACTGGTGCGTGGTTTGTGCGGCCGCCGGTTAAAGGAACACGACGCGTGGCAGTTCCAAATGCGATTCAAATAAATCAGTTCGATCCGATTTGCTAGCACAAGGCGCCACTGACAATTAAACTGCTTGGGCTCTGGGGAAACGCTGAAGTCTCTGCCAAGGCTGTGGCGTTTGCTGGCCAAAGCTCGAGAAACGCTAAGTTCCGCAAAAACAACGCAAGCACCTGCCAAGTTCCGCACAAATAGCTCAGAACCGCTAAGCCGTTCAAAGGAGCAGATCATTGTATTACGTGGTGTACGGGAGATTGTACCTGATGTCGCAGGTATCCTCTCCATACCCCCTCATCGCAAAGATTCTTTGTAGAACTGACTCTACCTTTGCACATACAGTTAAGATGTTTGCCCGCCTGGGTCTGTTTCCCTTGCTATTCTTTTTGGTCTCATTCAGCCAAAGTTCGAGCGCAAAGCTGCGCTCGTATAATTTCACCGTTCACAGCGGCGTCAGAGCACCTGGTACGTCGGCCAGTGTATGCGTACATTTGTCCATGAAGGCGGCACATATTCGTTCGTCCTGCGCAAATTGGTTAACAAACGTGTAGATGGAGTCCCCCGCGAGGTGTATCTCATCAACAACCAGCAACCCGGTCCTCTTATCGAAGCTGAAGAAGGGGACGACCTTGAAGTCTTCGTTAAGAACGACTTGACAGTAGAAACCACCATCCATTGGCATGGTTCGTATTCCTGATGCACTCTTGGAGTCGGTGAGCGCGCTAAGGTGTCTATGCTAACAAAAGGCACTGCAGGTATCCTCCAACGAGGGACGCCTCAAATGGACGGTGTGCCAGGCGTTACACAGGTCAGTTGGCGTCCTGTTCTACTAAAGCCTATGCTTGTGCTTACTGCCAGTGCAGTTCCCCATTTCGCCGGGAGGCAATTTCACCTACCGATTCTCGCTCAAGGATGAATATGGCTTTTACTGGTACCATTCACATTTCCGAGCTTACTACGACGACGCCATACGCGGACCCTTAATGATCCACCCGTCTCCTATGCGACGTCGACCGTTCGAGGCCCTTGCTACCAACGACAGCGAACTCAGTGCGCTCCTACAGGCTGAGCGTAATGCGACATCTATCCTTCTCACCGACTGGTATCATCGTCTTTCAGATGATGTGTTCGCACAGTACATTGAGACCGGTGCCTTTCCAAATTGTGTCGATAGTCTTCTGGCCAACGGCATGGGAAGAGTGCAATGCCTACCAGATTACATTCTTCAGGCCGGGACAGGCCTAGGGAGTCAGCCTCCGGTCGCCAGTGATACATCCAGGTTTAGCGATATGCCTATGGCTTCGGTATCGATGGATTCCATGTCCATGGTGATGCCAACCATGCGTAAGAGAGCGATGACAGAGAGTTCGGATATGGACATGACGGCATCGAACGGACCGACGATGTCCAATCCTATTGCCATGACCTCAGGAACGACCCCACAACCTCCAGCCGGACCGACCTCTATGGCAAGCACAATGTCCATGTCGGGCATGTCGGACATGTCTTTGGGTCCTCGGGGCTGCAGCCCACCGATGATGTTCAACCCAGGCTTCAATATCAGCTCCTTACCGCCTGAGACTTGCACGAACACGTCGTCACCTCTGCTGACAGTTCCTGCGAATTATACCCAAGGTTGGCTTGCTCTGAATCTTGTCAATGCTGCTTCTGTGAGCGGGTTGAGTGTCTCTATGGATGCACACTCCATGTTCGTATACGCTGCTGACGGACTCTTCGTAAAGTTGCAAGAGGTCAAAGTAGGTAACGATCAAGCCACTGAGCTATCCTGGGATTAACTGGCATTAGGTATTACAGATATCAATCGGTCAACGATATTCGGTGATGGTGAAACTCGATCAACCGCCAGGGGACTATCTGCTTCGCTTTGCGTCTTACCCTTGGGGTGATATGCAGCAAGTCATCGAAGGCGTGGCCATCGTATCATACAAAGTAAGAATCAACCTGGTCTATTACTATAGAGCGCTTGTCTGACAATCTAGGTGGACCCAACCGACGGCATAGATTCGGTCGACCTTCGCCAGGATCCGGCCTCGGTGTGGATGCTCACGAATGGATCTGCGAAGTCAAGCAGTTTTACATTAGACGCACAGCTGCTGGCACCGCTTGACGGAAACATACCACCATCCGACGCCGCTGATGTAACCCGATTCTTCGCAATAAACCAAACAGATGTGATAACATGGGTAGTGGATGGTTATGCCTACTCAGAGCCGGAGAAGCCCATAATCTACGGAAATGTGTCTGATGGCTGGGACGCAAATACAACGCTCCATATGCCATTCAACGCAACCATTGATATTATTATGAGGATAGCGAACGATTCGATGGACATTGTAAGTAGCATACAGCCATTCTCCTTTGCATTGTTGCAGCAAACGCTTCAAGACTTCGGAACTCTGCTAACCATTTATGTAAGATGGGACACCCTATGCATCTTCACGGGCACAAATTCTGGGTTCTCGGTTCTGGCATTGGTTCGTTCCCCTATAACACAGTGCTAGATGCGCCGCAGTCGGTTATAAACCTGCGTGATCCTCCATATCGAGATACTGTAGATCTCCCCCCTTCAGGATGGGCGGCGATCCGGTAAGTTCCTCGGTCATTTTAGATGCATCAGCTCCTTGGAAGTGAATTGACTCAATTCAGATATGTAACGGACAATCCGGGAGCGTGGCTTTTTCATTGTCATATCCAGTGGCACCTTGTGGTAAGATACTCATCAATAAAGATTAGGGTGATAATGCTAACGACGGGAACCCTATAGAGTGGGATGGCACTGGTCCTTGTAGAAGGAGAGGAACAGCTTCCTGGATTAGTTGGTGCATCCATTGATGCAACTGCACCACGGTCTCCCCCCCCCCCTGAACCTAGCAGTACTGCTATGAGCAGCTCTGCCGTCTCTAGAGTGTGTCACAGCTCTATTGCTTGGGCAGTTGCTGTTGCTCTCAATCTCAGCTTCATCAGCCAGTAATACTTCACAGCAAAGCCACTGTGCGCTAGAGGACTGATTACGAGTTCAGATAACAGATATTGCATTTTAGAGCTCCCAGCTAAGAAGAGGGATGGAGATTTGTATGGAATTGCGTTCGGTTATCGTCAGTAATGGTCTGGTTCCATAGATAACGTTTTTGAACGGGCGTCATGTGCTCAGCCAATGCAAGGGTGTTCCAAGTCCCATATCACAAGTGTAAATGACGCTATTTTTAGCAGAACGGCATTGGTGACCTCGTATAACCCCGCTCCCGGGCTCAGCTTCTTTATACGAGGTTCAGAGGCTTGGATAGATTTTGTTATAAAGGGCTCTGCTACTTCTTCTTGATAGGAGGTGGTTCACCCTATGCAAAACTCCAGAAACTGTCAAGCTAATGTCGAAATGCACCCTGACCAATCACTTATTGTAGCTAGCCCAAATGTCCAGCAACTGCTTCGAAGACTGCATACTTTGTCTGAGGCCGAAGAAAAATCCTTCTCGCAGAGGTTCTTTTATCTCACTCGGCTAGTTCGCTTCTTCCTGTACGGCGAGATTTGGTCCACCGCCGCCGAAGATTATGTGCGGGACAAATTCATCGCGTTGGATTCCGAGAAATGCCGGTTTATCTACCTATTGGCCAGGAGCGCAGGAGCATGCGACGTGATCGAGGCAGGAACAAGTTTTGGAGTCTCTACTATATATCTCGCATTGGCCGTCAGTCAGAATGTCCGCCAGCGGGAGATATACGGTGGAAGAAGCACATCCGCCGGCAAGGTACTCGCTACAGAAAAGGAGCCAGCCAAGGCTGCGAAAGCTAGAGCAAACTGGAAAGAGGCGGGACCCGATGTAGAAAAGTGTATTGAACTTAGCGAGGGGGATATCCTGGGGACTTTGAGGATTGATGAGGGCATACCGGAAAAGATCGATCTCTTGCTGCCGGATAGTACGTGCTCTTACTGAAACTCTCCTTGAGTTTCCCACATACTCGTGAGGTTTTGCTAACATCTGCAGTCTGGACACCTCTCGCACTTCCTACTCTCAAACTTGTACAACCGAGGCTGAAGCATGGTGCTATTGTCATTGCAGATAATGTGGGGATAGCTAAGTTCTTGTACAAAGATTTCCTTGAATATATACGTAACCCAGAGAACGGATTCAGGAGTCTCATGCTACCGTTCAGTGGAGGGTTGGAGTTAGCAGTGTATTTGCCCCGAGAATGATCCTTCTCATGACCGTGTAGGTCTCTTATTTTCAACTGCAACCGCGAGAGTAGCAAACAAAACTATTCATGTTTTGACCAGTGCAACCCCAATTAAGCGACTAGACAAAAATCCCGCTCCCGTATGACCACTTCCATATGAACTGTACAACAAAACAAACCCAAAAAAAACCAATCACAACTCCCAAGCCCCTTCTCCTCCTTCTGCCCTTCCTTTTCTCTCCCCTTTGGGCAGAAGGAAAGACATTTGCATCAAGGTTGAAGTCGCACCATGTGTGCAGAAATTGGCCCTGAGGTAATGATCATTTGCACTGGAAGGCGTTAGAGATTCGAGGGAGGACGTTGATGGGGACATGACCTACTCCACATGACTGGCATCCGCAACCGCCATTGCAGTTATTAGAGCAGCAATCCTGACATCCGCAGCTCGCCATGATGCGTAAGTGAAGAAGATGCCGAGAGTAATATGAAATACTATGAAGGAAGACGCTATTGTGTTCTGTTGTTGATTTGGTAGCTCGTGTCAGAGAGCTACTGGCAATCGTCGAGGCAGTAACTGCTGTCCTTCTTTCGCAGATTGGGTGATCAAAGCTCTATCTATACATACCAGAATTTAAGTGCTGAAACAGGAAGCGGGACACCGAGAATTACGAATAATGACCTCTACGTTTGGTCCTCGTTCGTCATGATGATTGCCATAGCATCGCCACCTGGTGCCGGCAAAATTCGTGTCCGGTCTCTCACTCCAATCGATATCTTCATCTCTTGCAAGCAGAGGGCTGAATGGCTTCAACTCCTTTTTCAACCTTATTTTAAAGGTTGCAAACATATCCAAAGACATGCAAGCTGCCTCCAAGCTTAGCGCTCAACTTTCGTCGTAAAGAGCAGGAGTAGGCGGACACGAATTTTGCCGGCACCTGGTGTCGCTGTCGCAATCATTACGCTACCCTTTCCGATTGGGCAAGGTTTTGTGACATAGTGTGCTGCTAGACAGATTTACTCAACAAGGGCGACAGGTTTGTCAACGTCATACAACTGGAGGATCGAGTCATTGTTGACGGACAAAGCCCTCCACGTTGCTTAGTGTCCTTTTCTTTCTCTGCGGATGTTGACGATAACAGCAGCAATCAACGTTAATTCTCAGCGGCAGGACGATTGTCGCCCTGTCTCTAACGACCTGGCGAAGAGGGCCGTGATCTCATCCTCCAGCACCGACCACAGCTCCCTAACACTATGGGACTGGAAAACGTAAGCGTTGGGCACCTATCAGGGTCCTAACGGAGGTGTAGCATATGCAGGGCAGTGCATTGCATACCACCTTGGAGATCCGAATGAGTGTCTCAGCGTATCTGCAGATCGTCACAATGTGAGTGTAATGATGTTGTAGGTGGCTAATTGCTGCCGAAAATCCCATCAGCAATTTCTCAACAGGTAATACAATGCTCTTGTCCTAACTGGTGCCAAACGCATTGCACTACGGGTGATGACAGCACTTTCAACGTCGCTTAGAACGCCATTATGCACGGATATACAAGCAGCTTTCGATTCCTGGTCGCACATGCAATAGGTGTTCTCCCGACATGCAGGTCCACGCGTCCGAGTCAACAGACCAGGCGGTCATAGTTACGAATCACTGAATCAGGGCGCAGATACTGCTGTGCAACCGACTAGGCCCTTTACGTTTACGACTTCTCCAGAAAACCGGTTTCTGGATGCTCGAAGACCCGAGATAGCCACCGGAGGTACCCTAAGGAACAGTAGAAGACCATGTGCGAAATCTAGGCAAAGCTAGACCGGAGATCCCGAATTTCCCACGCTGCTGCTGAGACCTATACAAGTGTAATCGTTGGGCCGATATGACGCGTAACTTAGATTATTGGTTAGCAATGAAAATGCCATCTTTGTGCGGTCTTTGAAGGCAAATGCGTGGTTTGTGCGGTCTGCAGATGTGGATGCGCGTTTTGTGCGGTTGCCAAGCGGTTGGTTTCCCTAGCAAGGGTTGTGTCATTCTATTAGTGGGAGACGGCAGCGAGATCACCGCCCCGTAACCTGTAGGAGAACTTTAATTCAGCCGTGCTTTGATGAACAAACAAGGGTTCGTCTTGCTTTCGCATGCGCTAGCAGCTGGGACTGCGATTAGGACAACATGGCTGCAGCACTAGAGACACAGGGGCTAGACCCTGCAACTAATGACCGTGCTAGTAATTACGCTGGCAGCGATCGTGTACGATAGTCACGGGTCACTGCATAATGGATGTTACGTCGACTGTGATGTTCCTTAGCGGCTGCGCTTGGCAGAGCGGCAATGTTATTGTCCTGATTCTGTGCCGACAGCAGCACCGACTGCGAGTTCGAGAAGGCCATTGAATACATACCAAGCCAGACACATGCCGACATAGCAGGGGAGCGCACAGTACCAGACAAGCGACATAGTAGCTTATTGCTGAAAGTGAGATGTTTGCATGTAGATAGTTGTAGTTAGTCTTCGGGCTGAAGTGAAGAAGTGAAGAAAGTTGAGGTTCAGAGTCGGAAATCGTGAAATCAAGTTGGATGAGTCGAGGTGCGGGGTTGCAGACTGATGGAAAACAGATAAGGGCTTAGGTATGGACATCCGAGCAAGGACGGCAATCGTAGTAACAAATCTAGCAAGCTTTTTAGCATTGTTCTAGGTCAGCCAGAAAATCTTGGGGACGCGTAAGTCCCACGTAATGAAGTACTTCGCAAGCTTGGCTTCACGTGTCAGCAAACACGATAAACCCCCATTCGGTAACGTACCTGGTAAGCGAGCGGCCCACCCTACCAACTTTCTGCGCCTGTTTAAGTGCACACCACAACCACGTTAAGAGATAATATATACAAATTTATATAGCAGGTTAAGCAGTATCTAAAGTATTGTTTTTGTAAGTACGTGAGTTGTGACCAGTCTCTCTGCACCTCGTGCAGCGCGCCCGAGCCTGGCGGCTGAGGCCTGATTGCTCTCCTCCTTGACGCTCTTCACGAGCAATCTGCTGATCAGCCTCACGTTGAGCGAGTATATCCTCTCCAGCTCCCTTTGTCAAGACTCCACGCTTCTGGAGTCGCTTTTTCTCGCGCTGCTTACGCTTTAACGCTGCTTCGTTGGCTCTCTCAAGGCTAGTGATCTGATCGCGCATTAGCTCAGCCGAGAGCATTATTACCTCAGCCCCCTTCTTGAGCTGGTTAATCGCCTCAATAATCGGAGCTGGTGATGAGCTCTTGTGCCGTCGCACGCGATCACGTATTAACGTTGATTGAGCCTCAAGCTCACGTACGTTGCTCGGCGTACGAGCCTGCCAGGAAGCCTCTGGTAGAGCAGCTGGAGTAGGCGTACGCAGCTGCACGTCTAGCTTTGACAGAACAGCGTCTGGCTGAAGAGGAACAAGGCCAGCGCCTCGAAAGGCGGAGCAGATATTAGCTAGCGTGAACGATCGATCAAAGGCTGCCTTGAACGCTGGTAGAAACTCGAGCTTGGTGATGTGGTTGATGTAGTGGCGGATTAGAGCCTCAACCTCACGGCTGTACGCGCGCTTCAACGGCGAGAAGCAGCCAACGTCAAGCGGCTGCAGTATATGAGATGAGTGTGGTAGCATACAGAGCGTGTAGATGTTGTTCTCCTTGCAGAGCTCTTGAAACTCAAGCGAGTGGTGGCTCTCGTGGCCATCAAGGATAAGCAGCTACGCGCGCCGACTACCTTCCCATTTGTATGCTTTATAAAGTGCTTTAGCCACTCAACTCCTAGCCCATTGTTTGCCCAGCCGTTGTCGCTAACTGCGATCGCCCAGTCGCGTGGGATCTCAGCTTCCTCGTACCAGGCAGATAGGTGATACTGGCCAGCGAAGATGAGGAACGATGGGACTGACCAGCCAGCAGCGTTGATCGCAGCGATCAACGTCACCTACTCACGATTGCCTGGCTGAACAGCCTTTGGTCGACCTCTTCTCTCTGACCCTGTCACGACAAGCTGAGTCGTAATCTTGCCCATCATAAAGCTAGCTTCATCAATGTTGTAGACGTCCTTATCGCAGATGCCGTACTTGGCAATTGTGTGCTCCACTAGCTCAAATCAGCTTCTAATCAACACAGGATCCTCGCACAGAGCTCTCTGCCTATCGTACGCTCGATTGAAGCGGGTCTTCAGGCTGTCTGTACGCTTGACAAAGTTGGCTGGCCACTTCTGCCCAACTTGGCCTGCGCCGCGCGCAGCTAGCAGCTTATCAGCCATATCACGTACAGCTGCGTACGTAGGCGCAAATCCACATTGATCCAGGTCAAGTATATAGCTGATAATCACCTCCTCTTCTAACTGGGTGAGCTTCTTCGAGTTGGGTGGGCAATCGCGTCGGGCAGGCTTTCCATCGCGTCGGCGTCGGAGCGTCGTTCGGGGCACTTCAAATGTCTGCGCAGCATCTCTTACAGACTGAATTTGGCTTCTGTTGATAGCTGAGATTGCAAGGCCGCTCGCTTGCGTGGGCCGCTCGCTTGCCAGGTACGTTAGTGGGAACTGGTAGCGAACAGCTGGGACGACGTCTGGGGCAGCCCTGCCGGCGCTTCGCAGCACTGCTGGCGGGGCACGATCTGCAGCGCGTAATGCGGCGTCCTGCACGGCGCACCTCCCTCAGCCTTCAGCCCGCAGCGCAGCCTCAGCCTTCCCGCCAGCCTAGAGATATGGCCGTCGCCCACGATGGACACCCACTGTACTTTCAACGCTGACCCGTCCCCGGACGCTCTACAACCAACCAACATATCTAACTACCAAACACCGCGATGGCGCAGAGCCTCGCGCCCCAGCACGGCGGCGAGCCTAACCCGCTCGACACCACCGGCCTCTGCCTGCTGTCACTCGACGGCGGCGGCGTGCGCGGCCTGTCGACCCTCTACATCCTCCAAGGCCTCATGGCGCGGCTGAACCATCAACGCCAGAGCGCCTGTCTTCCTCGAGTAAAACCGTGCGAGGTATTCGACCTCATCGGCGGCACGAGCACGGGCGGGTACTTAAAACACTGCAGAGCTGCGAGGCCCAGCTAATAAGACAGGCTCATCGCCATCATGCTTGGACGGCTGGAGATGGACGTAGACGCATGCATCGCATCCTACAGCGAGCTGATGAAGACTGTGTTCGAGGAGAAGTCTAGCTGGCTTCCTGTCAGCTGGAGCGGGAAAGTGAAGGCGCGGTTCGACTCGGCGAAGCTGAAATGCGCCGTGGAAGATGCCATCTCCAAGACAGACGCTTTCTCAGCAGACGCCCTCAACGATGGCAAGGCTCGCGGGTGCCGCACGTAAGTGTACTGCACAGATGCACGGCCTCCTACTCACAGAGCACAAGGTTCGTCTGCGCGACAGCGAAGGAGACGGCCGGCATCACACGGCTAAGGAGCTACACACTGCCTGATGAAGGCGAGATCCCTGCGACGATCGGCGAGGCTGCGCTTGCAACATCAGCAGCGACAGGTTTCTTCGACCCCGTCTCGATCGGAGCGCGGCAGTTTGTGGACGGCGCACTGGGCGTCAACAACCCCGTCGACGAGGTGGAAGGCGAGGCGGCCAACATCTGGAGTCCTGATACAGGCGACCTGAAGCCGCTAGTCAAGTGCTTCGTCTCGATCGGTACGGGCCACCCTGGCAAGAAGGCACTCGAGGACAACATCGTCAAGTTCTTGTCGAAGAGCCTCGTGGGGATTGCAACGGAGACGGAGAAGACGGAGAGGAAGTTCATCGCGCGATGGGCGAAGCACTACGACGAGAAGCGGTACTTCCGGTTCAACGTCGACCAGGGGCTCCAGGAGGTCGGCCTGGCCGAGTACAAGGAGCAGGGCAGGATGCAAGCCGCGACGGACGAGTATCTGCGACACCAGGGGCAGAAGTTTCGGGTGCGGGACTGCGTGGAGAACCTGCAGCAGAAGCAGAGTGTGTATATTGAAGACTTCGCCTAGGTCGTTGGAGGGCCTAGGGCTAACGCTGCGCAGGCAGAACAGAGTCGTCCTTTGGGGTGGTTATCCATGTAAGCACTGCAGCGTCTATCGTGTAGACAGGTTACTTAGCTTGCATAGGAATATACGATGCGACGCATTACACAGCGTCAGAGAGGTGAACAAGACATATCTGCCTTTGAGTACGGCTAGACTGATATACGTGTAGCTAAGAACGTGCACTGGATGGTACCTCGTCCAGTCAACAGTCTGTTCACTGGCCGCTCCGAGCTCACAGATCGGATCCAAAGCGCCTTGCGCAACGATGAGCCAGATATACTTAAGCAGAAGCGACTGGTCATAATGGGCATAGGCGGCATAGGAAAGAGTGAGGTGTGCTTAAGAATTGCGGACCTAATGCGAGAAGAGTGCGTTGCAGCTTCGCTGTGTTATGTGTTAGTGCGTCTGCTAACGACCAACAGCTTCTGGGGCGTGTTCTGGGTCGACGTCGGCAGCCCGTCGACTGCTAAGAACGGCTTCCTAGCCATCGCGAAGGCGCTCGGATCGTCTGCCGAGAGCGTCGAGGAGTCGCTGCAGGCGCTCGCCAACACGCCTGACCGCTGGCTGCTAGTCTTGGACAACGCCGACGGTCCAGCGTTCGACTATGCAGCGTATATCCCGTCTGGCACGCAAGGCACCGTGATGATGACGTCCCGTGTGCCTGAGTGCAGCCAGTACAGCACGCTGCGTGCGGAAGCGCTCGAGGGCCTGGAGGGCGAGCACTCTACGCAGCTTCTGCTCAAAGCTGCACGGGTGCCAGAAGCGTCTTGGCAGGCTTGCGAAGAGCAGGCGCAGGCAGTCGTGCAGCTGCTGGGGTCAAACACGCTTGCGCTGATCCAGGCGGGTGCGTATATTGCAGAAGGGTACTGTCGGCTGGACCAGTATGCGGAAAAGTACAAGCGGCTGCGCGAGCGACTGCTCAAGCACTACCCTAAGCAGCAGCAGTCACGGTATCGGCATGTGTACGCGACGTTTGAGGCATCCGTCGGAGTGCTGAACGATTCTGAGGACGGGGTAGGCCGAGACGCGTTGGATTTGCTTGGGATCCTCTCTATGTTGCACTCTAGCGTGCTGCCACTTCAAGTCTTCCCAGGCGTGTGGAAAGGAGCTCGGCAGGTGCTAAAGGCCAACAATGACCAGACTGACGAGATGGACGCTCTTGGACAGTGGCACGTGTCTCAGCTGCCTGAGCTTATCGACAGACAAGCAGACGAGTGGGACGACTACCAACTCAACCAAGCCAGCGCTCTGCTTGCCTCGCTTTCGCTAGTGACAAGACACCGCGTAGACGACCTGGACGGACTGTCGATGCATCCGCTCGCGCACGCGTGGGCGAAAGACCGGCTCGGGCAGGAGCAGCAGCAGGCGGCGTGGGTGAGTGCAGGATGCATTCTTGCATTGTCGCAGGGCGAGTCGGAGACGTGGCAGGTGTACGAGAGGCAGTTGCGGCCGCACATGCAGTATTTTCTGTCGCCTAGTGTCGAGTTGATGTTCTCGTTTGGCCTATCAGGGACGATGTTGCCTATCTTGTTAAAGTGCGGCTGGGCGCTGAATACAATGAGGGAGGACAACAAGCTGAAGTTATTGCTAGAGGGCGTCTACGGGGTTCTTAGGATCACGCCATCAGATCCGTCACAAGAGCACATACGGATATGGGACCTCGCAGCCAGGAACCTTAGATACCTCGGCCACGCTAAACAGGCTGTGGCGTTGCTAGAGCACGTCGTCAAGGTCCAGGAGACTACGCTGGTGGAGACTCACCCCGATCAGCTGGCATCGCAGCACGCGCTTGCTGGTGTGTACCGGGCCAATGGGCAGACCAAGGAGGCCGTGGGGCTGCTGGAGCATGTCGTCAAGGTCCAGGAGACTACGCTGGCGGAGACTCACCCGTCTCGGCTGGCATCGCAGCATGAGCTTGCTGGTGCGTACCGGGCCAATGGGCAGACGAAGGAGGCCATAGCGCTGCTGGAGCACGTTGTCAAGATTAAACAGACTACGATGCCGGCTACGCACCCATCTCGTCAGGTATCAGAGCGGGTAGTAGCCTATATACAGAGCAAACTAGAGAGACAAACTTCTTAATATAATCCTCTGTTCCTATTGTCTTAGATTTCTTATGCTCTAGCTGTGTCTTCTAACAACAAGGATTTGCTACCTAACGCTAAGCTACTTCATGCAAGATGTATGCTATGTGCTGTAGGGGTCTGCTGTACCGAGCCATATCCGAGCGGTACGCAGGGCTGCATAGGCGAAGCTTAATTAATGCAACGCCAATCCATCTTCGACGTCTCCACCATAACTCAACATCAACGCGCCAACCGCCCGTTGCTTGTCGCCTCTTCCTTCACTACACATGCCCAAACGCGCCCGCCCGCCGTCGTCGCCGCTCTCGCTCCCGCGCTGTGCCAAGCGCAGCCGCCCCTCGACCTCACCCTCGCCCTCGCATCGCGCTCCACAACAGGCACACCTCCCCCTGACGTACGAGCGGCTCGCCCTCCACGATAGTCTTGCCGAGAACCAGCTCATATCTGCACCCATGCCCGCTGCGATGCCGCCGCCCTCATTGACTACTGGCGCCGCATCGTCATGCAGCGCCTCGCCGTCTAAGTCATCAGACAAGGTCCGTGACAACGAGGACAAGCTGCGCTACTACAGCATACACTTCTGCAACCGCCGAGTCCTAACCAATATGATGCGACGGGGCAACCCTACCTCCACGCGAAGATCACGAATAGGGCCCTATTCGTGATTTTGCGCGACTTGGGGCCTGTTTCGGTGCCCTATTCGCACTTGTCGGGAAACAACCCCTTTTTGTAATCTATTTAGGTTTAGCTTAGCCGCGGCCTAATGTGCATACTTACTGTGGGAACCTACGGAGAACAAGGTAGGTATGCAACGCTGGTGCTAGCGCTTTTTGTCTCTGTTAAGAACCTACCTTACTAACAACGCAATAGCCCGCTGAGGAGGAAATTCCAAGCAAAGACGCAGAGATAAAGAAGCTCGCGACGCTCAAAAAGCTCTACAATTATCCCAAAGAGGCAAGCGCAAAGCTTCAGAAGCTTTAGCAAGGCCTAAGAAGAAGCGGCGTGGTGGTGCGGCTGCGCGTCGTGGTGTTGTTGATGCAGAGCCTCCTCGGGAACTGCGCACCCACACCACCCGCAGCGGCCGCAAAGCAACACTATATACTTAGTTTTTTGATGAATACTGTCGCATAGGTCTACAGATCACTGCACCAAAAGACCGCATGATAATAGCTATTGTACGTGGTTCAACAGCTTCATGTTTATGTGGGTGGTTGGGGGCCCTCGCGGGCAGCACACCCTTGTGCACGGAACACGGGCATTGCGCGCACGGACACGGTAGCTCGCGTCAACCAACACAGCTAGCATTAAAACCGCATTTCGCTCCCATACAGCGATCGCGCAATTTCGAGACATAGTGTAATGTGTTACTATAGCTAACGCGAAAGCTCATATATTATGTAGATGAACCGTGGCGCCGCCCTCTAGCTCCGCAGACCCGCCGTCAATCCCTCGTCCGACCACGCCCGACCACGTCCGGCCACGTCCTTATACTTTTCAAGCACAACGCAACCAACACATATACTAAGCAGTAGCCAGATATTGCTACCATAGTAGATTATGTTTGGTCACTTACGCGAAAATCTTTCTGATCCGTGCAAGACAAGAGGCAAGGGTGATTACTCGGGTGGTCCTTGTCCCTGTCATTACATAGGGACTGATAACGCTACTTATTTGTGACGTCACAGTAGAATCAGTGGCTTTTAGTCCCGGGGTGGAATGGTGGATGGTGCGTTGGGGTGTTTAGGGTTGGTGCGCTAGAATGCTTCACATTTTGAAGGCGACCTGATCGAGTGGAGTCGAATAGTTTCCTGATGTGTACTAAGATGGTATAGGTAGTCTCTACGGATGAACCCTGCGCTGACATGAACTGTTCTTGCCAGATATTACAGTAGCCCCATTCCATAGTGACGTTACGAGACTGCAGATATTCTGCCGTAGGTCATCTTTCGTCTATCACTGGGCGTTTTACTGACTTGCTCTAACCAACGACTTGAAACCATGACCCGTGAGGATAAATGAACTGCCTATAGTCTAGAGGGGGACAAGCACGGCGTCAGCAAGCGACGCAGAGTGCAGTCAGCTTGTGCACCTTACTACGAACTCAAAGCTAAGTTTGGTCGACCTTTCATAGCAACGATTCTTACTCATGTCATCAAACAGGTGGCGGCATCATGATGAAGGTTTCTACCATCCTGCAAGTGATAGCCGCCGCTACAACCAGATCTACGTTGATTGTCCGTGACCACGAGAGTTACGGGTGCAGCCAGCACCAATTGATTTGTATATCTCCTCTATACGCCTCCAGAAGAGAACGTTGACGACTTCCTCCTATGGGTTCGCATTGACCCAAAATCTGATGTTGCCACCTTCGCTTGCCTTCGCAGGGACACTGTTGCGTCGTGTTCAAGTCTTACTTTGGTCGTTCAGCGTTCATAATGCAACCTAATTTATTCATCAGTGATTCCAGCTGCCTCCTAGCTGCTTTTTGTACGTCTTTCAGAACGTGGTAGGGTGATGCCCCAATGCATAGCCTTGCAGTTGCGCTCCTACTTGGCGGAGAACAGGTGCATCACTTCTCTGATTTGGGTATGGACAAGCCTATCTTCAATATTGCATTTATGCACTAATGGAGGTAAGAAAGGAAGAAGGGCATGCTGGTAGCAAGTGCAACTTCAACATACGCCAATCTGGAACTGCACCGTCAGTGGTACTAGCCCGCACCCAATGCAGCTCTACCCGTCACCCGGCAGGGGGTGGCCTACGATCACATCAGCTTTCAACATATGTTCGAACCTGAAGGGGGTATCTAAGCCTTAGACTACATCACCTGACTGCTCTGCAGGCATGATTAATGCGTATGACTACTTTAAAGCTTTGCTCGCGCACTTGTACACAGGCAGATGAACGCTCTCGTACATGAGACACAATAGTAGTGCCGCTCTGTGCTTATACAGATAGATCGTGAAGATCAGGTGGACTTGTTTATTGTTGTTGCCGCGAGGCAGAGCACAAGACTCTTGATGGAGAGTTCCCCTATTAATTACCTTTCTGTAGAGCTAAGCAGAACTACTAACAGTCTTGCCTCTCTTTGACCCTTTGACTTCCTTTCCTGACCCTTTAATTGCATCCTGAATTTGTTCGAATGTGACACTATCGTCCGTAGTCACCGTAACGGCCTGGTGATCGACAGAAGTGTCAACAGCCTGAACGCCTTGAACTTTGTTGAGCGCGGCTTTGACAGTAGAAGCGCAGCCTATTGGATGGTTATTAGAGCAGTTCCTTTGAGCCGAACGGCCACAACTCTTGCTCACCTCCGCATCCCATTTTTACATTAAACTCGTATATGTTTGACATTTTAGTCGCGGGTAGTCGTTTGTTCTTTTTTTTTGGTTGTTATTTGTCTGTTGGTCATTGGTCGTTGGTGGTGGTATTTTTGAGTGAGAGAAATGGGAGCATTGTGCCGGCTTTTTATAGTGAATGTGACTTCATTGCGGGTGGACAGATCTTGGTCGCGTCAAGTTTGGAGGTGGATGTGGCAGTTCTAGAGACTGAGGCTTCGTTGAGGCAGTGACGCTACTAGTCTGACGCTAGCGCTGTACAACGCGCACAAAACCCTCAAGCCGCTATTGCATCGCCCCCAGAGACGCTAAGCAGGGATGCATCTAAATGGCTGGTGCTGCGAGCGTCTAGAGTAATCCGCACAAACAGCGCAGCGTAGCCTCGCACAAAACCCTCAAGCCGCTATTGCATCGCCCTAGAGACGCTAAGCAGGGATGCATCTTCCCTACACACAGCGCAAGTTGTCGAACAGTGGTACATTCTTTGCACTTGTAATACAGATTCTTGGCTTCGCCACTGCCGTTCTGTATATCAATACCTCGTCGATTTGTCAATTTCCATCCAGTATCAAGGCAATCTTGAAATCATTCTGTTGCTCAAGATGGATTCTCTGATTCTCCTCGTATCAAACCTTCACTGCCCTTCGTGTGTCTCCCATGTTCAAGACGTTCTGTCTCACTTGCCCGGAATTGAATCGGCCAGCGAAGTTTCCCTGATCACGCAAACCATACGAGTCGTGCACGACAATACGGTCATCAGTCCTCACGAGATCATTGAGGCTTTAGTCAAATCTGCTCTCGAGATAAAACACGTCGTACACTTGAACAGCCAGGGGCATCAAGTTGCTGATTACGATGTTTCGGACGCCAATACCCTTACCACAGGCGGAGAACGACCCCAGAAGAGTCACATAGACAGCTGTGAAGCCTGCCAGAAAGTATGGCAGGGCAAAGATTTCTCTGTAAACGCTACTAGCTCCACCGCCACTGTCACCAAAGTCGACGTCAACCCGAACATTATCAACATACAGGACCCATCCCAGGATGATAGATATAACGCATCTATCTCTATCGAAGGAATGAGTTGTGGAAGCTGCACAGGCAAGGTTATGAGGTCATTGGATAGGCTTCCTTTCGTCTCGAAAGCGAGCGTCGACTTACTATCCCACATGGGCGTCGTCGAGTACTTCGAACGCCAAAATCTGGATATAATACTGCATCAAATCGAAGCCCTGGGATACAAAGCAACACCTATACAGGTGATCGAGCCGAAGCCAAAGCCCAAACGGGATGTTACCTATGTGGCGTCACTTTCTATCGAGGGAATGAGTTGCGGAAGCTGTACAGGCAAGATCAGAAAGGGGCTGGAAGACCTGAATTTTGTCACCGAGATCGAGGTCGACCTTTTGAACAACAGTGGGTCAGTGTCGTTCACAGGAGACGAGAGCAACGTTAGCAAAGTACTGCAGAAAGTCAGCGACATCGGCTACAAAGCAACGCTAGTCGAATTAACCCGACCCGCGGCCCTGGTTGCACCGGAAGAGAGGGTGATTGACTTTTCGATTCAGGGAATGCACTGCGAACAGTGTCCCGAGCGGATCGTAGATGCTTTGAATGAGTCGTACCGCGGCAAGGACCTTCCCCGTTTCAGAATCACGAGGAACCCAACAATGAAGGAACCGCATTTGCAGATAACGTACACGCCATCGTTGCCAGAAGGCCTGTCACTCCGCCGATTCATCTCCATTGTCGAAGCCATCGACCAAGCATTCTCAGTCCATGTCAAACATCCACCCACCATCGAAGAAAGATCGCGACGGATTCAGCGCCAGGAACTGCAGGCTATAGTAGTGCGCATGATTTTCGTGGGTATTGTCACCATACCTTCGCTGATCCTGGGCGTTGTCTACATGTCCTTGGTTCCGAAACATAACCCCACTAGGATGTGGTTTGAGGAGCCTATCTGGGTGGGTAGTGCAATGCGGATAGATTGGGCGTTGTTCATCATGACTACGCCTGTCATGTTTTTCGGGACGGATATATTCCATCGACGAGCGTTCAAAGAGATTTGGGCTATGTGGAAACCTGGAAGCACCGTTCCGCTCCTTCGCCGATTCTACCGCTTCGGGAGCATGAACCTGCTTATTAGTGTCGGCACGAGCGTCGCCTACGTCTCTTCGCTTGCAGTTCTTGCCATGAATGCTGCACGTAAAAGTAGAGAGGATGGCTCCATGAGAATGTCTTCCTCTTACTTTGATGTCGTCACATTCTTGACATTCTTTATACTGATTGGCCGATTCCTGGAAGCTTATAGCAAGGCAAAAACTGGGGATACAGTTGCAAGGCTCGCTAAGCTCCGACCGAACGAGGCGCTCCTCGTTGAGGAAGATCAATCCATCACCAAAATTCCCGTTGATCAGCTAGAGCTCGGTGACGTTGTTCAGGTTCCTCAAGGTCATTCGCCACCAGCAGATGGCCTGGTCAAGCAAGAAGGTTCCTTCTCCTTCGACGAAAGCTCACTTACAGGCGAGTCGAAACCAGTGCGAAAGGCCAAAGGGGACGTTGTTTTCACAGGTACCGTCAACGTAGCCGACCCAGTCGAGATCGTAGTTACCGGCCTCGGTGGCACTTCAATGCTTGACCAGATTATTGAGGCCGTTAGAAGAGGTCAGGCTAAGCGTGCTCCTATCGAACGAATCGCGGACGTTCTTACTGGTTACTTTGTACCTGTTGTCACATTGCTTGCAATCGTGACGTGGGTTACTTGGCTGGGCCTTGGTGTCTCTGGTCGGTTGCCTGACGCCTGGCTCGATGTGCCGGAAGGTGGTTGGCCATTCTGGTCTCTGGAATTCGCAATCGCCGTGTTTGTAGTGGCATGCCCATGTGGTATTGGCCTCGCTGCCCCTACAGCCTTGTTTGTCGGCGGCGGACTTGCTGCGAAGAAAGGAGTCTTGGTTCAGGGGGGAGGGCAGGCGTTTCAAGAAGCATCAAACTTGGATGTCATCGTCTTCGACAAAACCGGAACACTTACTCAAGGCCAGATGAAAGTAACCGACTTCGATCAGCTCCAAGAAGATATTCCCCAAGACCGACTCTTCCTTATGGCGATGGCTATGGAGGGCTTGTCAAGTCATCCAATTGCACAGGCTATTGTTACGTATTGTGGTTCAAAATTGAATCAAATGGCGATGACAGACGTTCAAGAGCTACCAGGTTATGGTATGACAGGAAAATTCACGTTTAGCGAGAACTCCAAGGAACGTATCGTTGAGGCTGCTATTGGAAATGCTCAGCTACTCGATTTCCTAAACAAGAAAGACGAGCCCACCGCGAAGGAAGACGAAAACATACTATCTTCACATACTAGGCTGCAAGAAGCTCTCCGTCATCACCAAAGCCAAGGTCACTCTACTGCCATTATTGCCGTTCGTCGTTCGTCGTTCTACGAGGCTGCCGGAATCTTCGCTCTCTCTGATCCCATTCGTCCAGAAGCACCCAAAGTCATTGCAGCCTTGCGCAACTTGGGCCTCTCCGTTCACCTCTGTACTGGAGACAACGATGTTACAGCCCATGCTATCGCCGCACAACTTGATATCCCCGTCGAGAATGTGCGTGCCGGGGTGCTACCGCAGGGCAAATCCGAATACATCAACCAACTTCAACATCCTGCAGGAGGCCGTAGAAGGCTGGTAGCCTTTACTGGAGATGGTCTCAACGATACCCCTGCTCTGACGGCTGCAGATGTCTCCATTTCGATGTCATCAGGCAGTGACATCGCAATGAACGCATCATCCTTCATCCTTGTCAACTCACACCTTGAAGCCATCTATGACCTGTTAACGGTTTCCAGGCGTGTATTCTTCAGGGTTAAGTTGAACTTTTTCTGGGCTGCTATTTACAATATCACGTTGATTCCGGTGGCGGCTGGCGTACTATACATGATTGGAGCGTCGGACACCCACCCTGGATGGCGCATGAGTCCAGTATGGGCTTCGGTGGCGATGGCAGGTAGTAGCGTCAGCGTAATCCTCAGCAGTCTGGCGCTCAAGCTTCCGGAACTTCGATGGCCGTCTAGAAAAAAGAGCTAGCTTGGTCAGATGGAATGTACAAGACGGGAAGTTTGGTCAAGAAGAGCTGGTTCTTGTTTCGCCCTTTCACAATGTGGATCATAGTCGGGTGAATTGAAAGACGCAGTGAAATTTTCAGCTGTCTCTTGATGTATTCGTTTTACAATTACGCACGTCATTTCAAAGTTGTAGTCGTTACCGTAGGTGTCTGCATATAAATTGTTATTTTACTTATTGAGTTAGCACGTATCTCAGTATCTATCTCTTGTACATCGATGAGCTATCGAGTGTTATGGACTAGTACTTGGCGCAACGAGCAGCGCCTGAACTATGGTGTGACTGGTTTCTGCCAAATCTGTACAGGACTTAATTCGAGACATGGTCAATTGCGAAAAGTCACATTATTACACAAATTCATAGTTTGTACGTACTTCTCCAATCAATGATACTATTATGGCGCGAGGTCTATCCTTTAACACCATCCTATCATTGGTCGCAAACGTGAACCGTCCTTTGGATGGCCTTGCTGGATAGATCCTGAGATGCACCACTCACCTGAGTTTGCCACGCTAAGTGCCGAGCGCCATTCCGGCCTTTACGTCGGCTACGCGTCTTTTGTGCGACGCAAAATTCGCGCGCGCTAACCCAGTCTACAGGGAACAGGACAACACCCAAGTACAAAGATGGCATAGAAAAATCTTGGCTATGTGCAACCCCTCCTTATACGCTGTCATCTAATTTTATCCGTATACTAGCGGCCGCTGTGAAGAACTGGATACACTATATAGGGCTGGTACGCATCATGGCTTCTGAACTAAAGTACCACCACAATTCTCGCCCTCTTCTACTCTCTTACACAAGAAACCTCGAATATACTATTGATGATGGCGAGTAAAGCACTTCACATGCTCAGAAGGCAAAGTGAAACGCAGCGAATGCTTCTTCGACCGCTACATCGAGTCCAACCCACCAGCCCCCGCTTGTACGGATACAGTGCTGGGAAAGGCCAGAACCGCAACGATAGCTCAGGTGGAGCACAACGTGATCCAAAAAATCCACCAGCATCAGCGCACCCATTCGATTTTTGGGGATGTAAGTCGACTTGGCGAAGAGCGGCTGTAAACACCACTCGATGTCTTGTAGGCTGCACGCTCGGCGACTTCTCGGCCATGTGGTCACTCCAGGCCTTCTACCCCGAACTGGGCTTGGGTCCAATTATGGCTATCTCGAGTAAGTCCTAATGGCATTCCGCAAGAAGTTCTACTTTTGCAGATGCGCTTACATTAAGCAGTGACTAGCGGTATCACGACCTCGATGATCTTAGAGACTGTTCTTCTTCGACTCGGTCGCGACCATCTGTCGTGGCCGGCTGCTGCCAAAACCGCATCCGGCATGAGTATGATTTCCATGCTGACAATGGAGCTCGCGCAGAATCTGGTTGACTACCATCTAACAGGTGGGGTTGTCGCATGGTCTTCGCCAAATTTCTGGGCAGCAGCGGCTGTCTCTATGCTAGCGGGCTTTTTCGCTCCTTTACCTTATAACTACATCCGTCTGAAGAAATATGGCAAGGCGTGTCATTGAGATCAACATTGGCTTGAAAGATCGACATGTGGATGAGATCTGTGGACTTGGTTACGTGATGTGCGTGCCACCTCTCTAGACTGAAGGTCGGCGTAGGTACTGGAGCTAATGCTATGGCACGCTGTACATTATGCAACCCGCTCGGCGTTATAAGAACTAAATTAGAAAAACTGCATTAACTTAACTATCTGATGATCTGTTCAACAATACGGAGGTGCATTTCAAAAGTCTGGTCCCCCCCCTGACAGCCTCAGCCACCGCACAGATGCTTGCAGGGGTAATCGGGCCGACACTGGATTGCTGTGGGCCACGTGTCCTTTGTCTTGTAACCAAATTTTCTTAGGCATTTCTTTTGTATCTCATCTTTACATCTATCTTCTTAATGTCGCCTATCTTTGATATTGCAACTCGAGCTTTAGTTGTAGCCTACAAGGCTGATGGCAAGACAAACCTAGAGATTATGGGTCTGACTGGTATTGAAAAGCGCACAATTAACAGGATCTATGCCCGGGCAATTGAGAGAGGCTTTGATCCTAGTGAAAGGCCTCTTGTGCTGCTGAACAAGTACCTTGAAGACGCTCCACGCTCTGGGAGACCTTCTAAACAGCAAGAAGCTTACAAGAAGGTTGTGGATCTTGTAAGCCGTGATCGATATGGGAGAGAGAAAGATTGTGCTGATATTGCTGGCGAACTTAGCAAGGATGGATGGGATATATCAGCTGCAACGGTGTGGAGAGTACTCAGGAGAGCTGGATTCAAGAAGACAAAGCCAACAAGGAAGCCTGGACTGACGAAGAAGATGAGAAAGGAGAGGCTAGAGTGGTGTCTTGAACACAAGGACTGGACTCTTGAGGATTGGAAGAATGTGATATGGTCTGATGAGACTGCTGTTGTACTCCTTCATCGACGTGGAGGGTATAGGATTTGGAGGAAGGCTGATGAGCTTTTTCTAAAGAGCTGTATTCGTGAGAGATGGAAGGGATATTCTGAGTTTATGTTCTGGGGTTGTTTTTCTTATGATAAGAAAGGGCCTTGTCATTGCTGGACTCCTGAGACAAAACAAGAGAAAGAAGAAGCTGTACGGGTACTTGAAAGAATGAACCAAGAGTTAGAGCCTATGATGAAGGAGAAGTGGGAGCTTGAAAGAGGTATGGAGAGGCTAGGCCTGCATAATAAGCCTGGAAGAAAACCTGTTTGGAAGTGGAATACAAAGAATGGCAAGTTAACAAGAGGAAAAGGCTCTGGCATTGACTGGTACCGGTACCAGACTATAATTACAAGGCCAAGGTTAATTCCTTTTGCAAAGGAGTGTATAAAAAGAGAGGCCTAATACTATAGTTCAAGAGGATAAGGCGCCTGCGCACGCTCAGACTTGTCAACAATCAAGTCAATCATCAATCAAGTTCGATTTTTTTGAAAAAACTTCAATTCAATCAAGTCAATCATGGTGTTGCTGTAACTGCAATCAAGTCAATTCGTGATGCCTTAATTGATTGACTTGATTGGAGTATTTGGAGTTTTCGGCGTGAGGTCGCTGAGTTTAGTGAGAGAGCGATCTCGCGATACTTTTCTAGTGTTGTACTGCGATTAGTAAGCACCTGAAACCTTAATTTCTGCCAATGTTACGCGTCGTCTCGTCTCCTCGACGCCAGTATCAACGCGGTAACAAGCAGCTTATCTCTTTGTGTTGTCGCGATGCCTCGTCCTCTTACAAAAGCAGTTAAGAGGCGTCCTGCTAGACAGAACAACGATAGTACCCGCCCAGCTAAACAGCGCAGGATCTCCGCGAAGGGCACCAAAAGCTAGCCTATACTTATCGAGGATACGCAACTAAGCTCCCCGCGTGAAGCCCTTGCAACTGCTAGCCAGGCCGTCGATTTTAAATCACAACTGCGCCACTCGCGGCTAGAAGCTGAGGTTGTTGCGCCCGTCAAGGACTCGGAGGCCGCCACCATCGCGGTAACAGTGCTAGATAAGGCTGTAGAGGATAGCTTTGATCAGCGCTTCTTGGATAACTTTGACAGTATCAATTAGGCACGCTTAAAGGGTTTTATCAAGCTACCGCAGACCCAGACGCAGCGCAAAAGCTAGGTATACGACTATAGCTACCGCGTCGCGTCGCAGCGCAACCCAGAGCGTCTCTACTAGGTTTGCCACATCTGCCACCGCAACAGGAAGCTAGAGGGCGCGGTGTTAGAGACGACGACGGCGACGAGCTCAGTGCAGTCTCATCTCCTCAAGAAACACCGCCTAGACGCGACAGGCAAGGTAGTAGTCAACCTGCCAACTGGCCAGAGGACGCTCTCTATGCTAGCAGGCACTAGTGTAGTAGTTAGCCAGGCTATTGCTAATGAGATAGGTCACTTCGACGTACAGGCGTTTCGATTAGCAGCTATCAGGTAGCTTGTCGATTGCAATATACCGCTGAGCCAATTTGAAGAGCCAGCGTTTCGACGGATGATAGAGTTTACCAACCCAGAGGCAGCAAGGGCGTTGTGGAGCAGCCACAACAGCGTCAGTCAGTACGTGATACGGCTCTACAAGTTTCTATTGCCGCAGGTTGTCGCTGAGCTTAAGGCGGCCGTTAGCAAGATCCATATAAGCTTTAACAGGTGGACAACTAAAGGCGGCAAACGTAGCTTCTTTGGAGTAGTTGCGCACTACGCAACTGCTGAGGGCGCTGTTAAGGACCTCCCAATCGACTTGCCGCAACTGTCGGGCGTCCACGCAGGCGAGAGGATAGCTAGTTGTATTGAAAATACGCTGCGGAAGTTTGGGATAACAGCGTCAAAGCTGGGTTACTTCATGCTCGACAACGCCTACAACAACGACGCCGCGATTAAGACACTTGGCAGCAAATACGGCTTTGTTGCTAGCCACCGTCGCCTGCGCTGTAGCGCTCATACGATAAACCTCGTCGGCCAGGCAGTGTTGTTTAGCTCCAACAAGGACACCTTTGACAACGACGCGGTCAACCTCCAGGTGAGCTTCTTAGCTGTCTCTCTCTCATGCGGTTGCTAACTAAGTAATACAGGACGAGGAGCGCTTCCTCCTAGAGTGGCGTAAACGAGGTCCGCTCGGGACGCTGCTAGACGTTATTAATTATATCAAGACGCCTCAGCAGCATGAGGTTTTCCGGAACTTTCAAGAACTAGCTAACCGCGAGCTGCCTGCTGACAACTACAAGATACTTGAGGTTGTAAAGCCTTGCGTTACCCGCTGGAACTCGTATTGCTCCGCCCTTGAGCGCGCCGTCCAATTGCAACCAGCTTTTAACTCGTATATCGCGTACTACGTTGACAGCTAAGACGCCGCTGACAGTCACGCGAGGACTCGCGGAAACAAGACACCTGAAGCGCCCCCGTGGATGAGATCAGGCGGGCTGTCAGCCAACGACTGGGCTGTTGTGAATGACTATATCGAGATCTTGTTGCCCTTAAGGTCAGCTACTAAACGGTTAGAGGGCCGCGGAAAAAGCGGACGCTTTGGAGCGATATACGAGGTGTTGCCAGTCTTTGAGTACCTACTTGTTGAGTTCGAACAGCGCTACAAACCTTTTGAGCTTGTTGACTACGAGGCAACTAATGCGCCTGAGGACCACCTCGCGATTAACCTAAAAGCTGCCTGGGTGAAGCTTAACGACTACTACAACCGGCTCGACGACTCGCCTGTGTACTACGCCGCCACCGCTCTCCACCCATACTACAAGTCCTATTGCGACCGCGCGTGGCGCGATAAGCCAAGCTGGCTTAGCAAATCAAAAGATGCTTTCCAGCAACTTTGGAGCACCTACCAGGTGTCGAGGAGCCCTCGGGGGCGGCCGAGAGAGCGCAACCCAAGCGCTATTGACGACGCTATCGCAGCTGTAATGGAGGATCTCGACTCCGACGAGGAGGGCTGCGACGAGTATTTGCGCTGGCGCAACTTCGAGCCAAAATGGACAAAGACAGTCTTTGAAAGCCCTAGCAGCAACCCAGTAACCTACTGGGTTAAGTTGCGAGACAAATACCCAACGCTTGCGCGCTTTGCAATTGATGTATTGACAATTCCAGCTACTAGTTGCGATTGCGAGCGCATGTTTAGCGAGCTTGGTGATCTCCTTGCTCCTCGACGACGCAATATTGGGTCGCAACTCCTCGCCGCGCTTCAGTGTATACGATCCTGGATGAGAGACGGCAAGCGTTTGCCAGTGAGGGCACCTGCGCTTAGCGACGACGACCTTGACAGGTTGTACGACCTTATGTCGTGGGATAAGCTTGATGAGACGGGTAAGTACTTGAAGCCTAGGCCTGCGCAACTTAGCTAACTCCTTCTTACAACAGACGATTATCTCACCTAGAGACGCCTCAATTACGAACAACGCTGCCCTCTACAAGCCTACTATACGTTATACTGTTGTTGCGAGGTTGTTGCTTGTACTCAGAGACCTATAGGGCGATATATTTCACCGGTGACCGGTGAGGACGCGGTGCGGGCGCTATACTCAACACCAAGAGCCTAGACAAGCTGGGTTGCGCCTACAATAGCTGTACAGCCTTATGTATTGCCGCCAGGATATAAAGACGAGGTTATATACCAACTACTGCTACGATATCCCATCAAGTAACACTGTTGGACCCACTACAAGGCAGGCAACCTGCTGTCACCATGCTCAGGGCTATAAAGCACCTTGTTGTTTATAGAGGCTTTGCCGCCTCTATTGACTAGACTCACAACAGCGTAGTGCGGTAACGGGCAGGGGATATAAGATCGCTCCATTAGTCCAGAGTAATTCGAGTCTTAGTTGGAACCGCGCAGTTTGTTACCTTTTTGCCTTTTGTTGGACCTGGAGGCGACAACGCTTTAACAATAACTAATCGCAACACTAGGAATTAGCTGTATAGGCCCCCAGGGCTCTTTTTTTTAGCCTCACGCGCCCTTCGCAGCTCCCTCAGCCTAATCGGGCAATTATAGCTCCAATCATACCAATCACGTCAATCCAACTCCAATCAGACACGCCCTTTTAGGCCTTCAAGTCAATCAAGTCAATCACAACTCCACGATAACTGCAATCAAGTCAAATACGAGCTTCATGATTGATTGACTTGATTGTTGACATGTCTGATCCCAACGCCCAGCTCGTCAACGATCTCTTGTCCGCTCCGACGGCCATCAAGCGCTTCCAGCGGCTACTCGTCCAGGGGGGTAGTCTTGTGACGGGTGAGGCTCTGCGCAAGCTGATCGTCTTCGACTTCAACGGCGCTCAGCCCGCGAATGGCGCGCTGGGTGGTGCAGCCAAGTCGGCCGTCCGTATCACCTGAGAGCTCCTTTGTCATGCATGCTGACTGAACACCACCCACAGACCGTAGAGACGTTTCCCTTGGTCACTGATCTCGGCATAGGCATGACGCTTCTCTTCCTCGAGCCCTGCGGGATCAACACGCCGCACATCCACCCGAGGGCGACTGAGTTTCTGCTTCTGGTCGAAGGGTCCGGCCTCCGATTCGGAAGCTTCCTCGAGAATGGCCTGGTTTCACTGGGGCAGAACCAGGAGGTCGCCGGCACGCTGGACAGGTATCAGGCTACGGCCTTCCCGTCGGGCAGCTTGCACTACCAGTTCAATAACGGGTGTCAGAAGGCGGTCCTTGTGGCGGGCTTCAACTCAGACGATCCAGGTACAAGCTCGGCAGCGCAGGGCTTCTTCAGCCTCAATCCAGAGGTGGTCAACGCCACGCTCGGCCCCGCTGTGTCTTTCGCTGGCGGCAGGCCAGAGGAGCTGCCAAAGCTGATTCCCGAAAGCCTTGCGCAGGACGTGCGCAGCTGCTTGGCCAGGTGCAGGGGGTAGTCTAGTAGGGCTCGCAGTGGGCGGCGACGAGTGGTCTCTGCGTAATGTGTGGGGCGATGTGCCGCAGTATGCCGCGGTTATGGTCAAGGGAACTGGGAGTGTGGTCTTTACTGGTTGCCAATGCAAGGGCTTAGCGTTCCGTACGATTTCAATGCAACTTGGTACCACTGATACACACGTCGTAATTGTCCACTGTCTGTAATGCTTCGCTAGACGGGAGAGGACATTGTGCAGCTAGCACACCTTTTTCCGTGGCTAGCTCGACGCATTGCAACTGCTTCACATGCTTGCATGCCCTCCTGCTGCCCTCCTGCTGCCCTCTTTTCTAACCTGCTTAACTCGTCAAGTAGTTGACCCGTGCCTTCCCTGCAAGCCCCCGCTACCCATCGTCGGCATACGCAGCACGCGGAACAGCACGAGGTTAGGACTCTGACTGGCAAACAGTCTGCCGTCTTGAACCAGATAACACGGCGTAAGCCTCCCCACGCTTCCCTTGAAGTCTCAAGGAAGCCGAAAATGCGGGTTGCTACAGTACGAAAGGTCTCGCTGCACCCAGAGCGGGCTGCTGGAAGCCGCTCTGGGAACCGAACGGAGCTGGATCAAGGTCGACAGCGCAGCCGATGCAGTTCGGACCTATGCATAGCTCGCTGTTCGCGAACAGGCTGCTTTGAGCTCCGATGAAACCTGCCCCCCAGTCAGCGCGACGATGGTACCAGAACCGGTTTGGGCGTCTCAGTGCTTATGCATCCGCATTCAAGCCCATTTCAGCTATTCTGCCCACGCTGGATGCGAGGCAGAGCGTACATAAGACAGAACATACAACCTAGACCGGAGCACATGCTCGCCGACTAGTCACATGCGCGCTTCAGGTACATCTAGCAACAGTCCTCTTCAGCCGAGTTCCATCCACCACGTCATGCAGACCAAGCCAGAGCAGCAGCTTGCGGAAGAAGCGGTCCAGGACTGCGACATCTCTGATCTCGACCTAGAACAGGTACGTAGCCGCTGTGCAAGCGCGAGCGAGCGGCGCACCAGCTCACAGTAACAAGATGTCGCAGGCCAAGCGCTGTCGGGAACCTTATTACTAATAATGCCGTGCGATGACCTTTATATGAGCTCAGCTAGGATGCTACAAACAATACAACAGACACTCTCTCCTAATTATTTCTATCAATACTACCCGCACTCAACCGTGCGACATCTGGAGATTGGGAAATCTTTGAAGAAGTAAACAGATTTGGATCTGGTGAGAACCGGCCAAAACTCACGTCTGAACACGTCTCATCTGCCTTCTCATACAACGCCGAAGATGTTGACGGAGAGGGTTCAGTAGGTCGCCCAGGATCTTCGTGGTGATCGCGAGAAGTATTGGAAGCTTTAGCGCATAGGTCGTGACTTCTGAGATCAAACTTCTCTTAAGCTCATCTGAAAGCTTTATTCGGTATTCTGCCATGGTCCTTGAGGGCTTCAATGTGGGTAAGAACGAGCCACTAAACAAGTGGATACTGAATATGCGCAAGAATACGATGCATCAGAAGTTGTATAGTGGCCAGCCATATTGCGCATGATAGAAAGGGATGATGTCTACAATATTTGGCGCTTACGCGTCCCCAAGATTCTGGCTAACCTAGAACAAGGCCAAGAAGCTTCCAAGGTATGTTGCTACGAGTACCCTCTTTGCTTAGCGGCCTGTACCATATCAAAGTGCAACCCCGCACTTCAACTACTGTAACAAGAAGATCCGCTCTGGATATTGGGGCTCGGCGCTTGAGGTCGTTGTTTATGGCAGGCGGTCTTCTCAGAGCTCTCTTTCACACTGTAACAATACTTTCTGAGCGCTGGCTTCGCCGACGACGTCTGTTAGTATCTAATCAAAATGGAGCGGGTAAAAGCATGTTCGTTCCGTCTCTCACTTGCCAGCTGCGGCGATGCCGCTCTAATCCTGCTATCACTATTCAACACCGCTAAATATCCAATGGCGCACAAAATTTCTTTAACACTCTCCACGTAAGTTTCAATGTTACCATCTCGGCAAGCGAAGCGCATGCGAATCACACGCAAATCGCGTAATGCACGCAGGTGTAATCCAAAGTTGCGGCTACAAGGTCCCATACAATAGGTGATCTTTTCTGTCAGCCATTCTTGGTGGCCTTGAAAACCTAATTCTTAGCCTCTTTGGCCAGTAACTTGTTATCCTCCTTATTCTTCTTGTTATTTTTATTCTTAGTAGGTCGATACTGTGGTGTAGCAACTAGTCACATGATCTAGGAGAAGGGATATAAACTCCGAAGGCCTCTCGGAGCGAGAGGCCAGCCTTCTTAGACAATTTTACTGCATCGATTACTCCTCGCTCTTCCCTTTGCCCTCCTATCCCACCGATTGCGGGTCGAAGACCTCCTGCCTCTGCTCGACATCCTGTTGTGCTACAATACCCTCGATCCTCAAAACATGCCTCTGCTCTCTGACTTGACGCGCATCACTTCGATTATCCTCTTGCAAGCGATATGCGCCAACAGACCATTCTTACGGAAACCCCCCCCCCCCCCTGAAATCGGTGCACTTGCCCAAGTACACATCAAATGAGAGACTATTAGTAACAGGGCCTTCCTGATTGGTTAAAGAAGAATTTTGTAAGCTAACGGCTGCTTATTCAGTGGAGGTTAAAACCGGTTTTGCCCACGTATAGCTCCGGCGCGTCGATCTTGGACGTTCGTTTGGGGGACGCCGTACACTGCTGCAGCGAAAATGCTGCAGCACGATTCACTTTTAATCTACTGTTTGTTTGTAGCTAAGATATCAAGCTATGTTCTACCTTCAATATAAGATTGTTTCATGTTGCGTTACCGTAGTATTGCCAGTGCCAAGTGAAGCGTTGCGTCATATTGGCGGGGTTGCTCCACTATGGCCACCACCGTCCACTCGCTCCCGGCTCAATAATCGATACCCCGCGTGGTGTGCTGCCCTTAGCTATTTACAACACTAAGATCTTTCATACACAAGGTCTTTATACGCCGGGGTGCACAATGCCGCGCTAAAAGTCGATGGACGTTGATTGTTTCGACAGCTTGCAGCTTCGCGTGGGGTTGCTGGTTGGGTCTAATCGATTGAAGGTGATTAGTACCTTGTTGGACAGAACGACCATCAAGGTGCCCGTAGGCGGAGGTTCATATAATCCAGCAATACTGCCCCTCCTCAGCCTCCTCCATCCATCGTGCAGATAGAAGTATCAGTCCCGTGCACAATGACGACATTTCGATACGATCCTCTTTTTCTTCCCACCGAGATATACGCCACCGACTTGGACTGATCGGACGCTACGTCAATGTTTGGTCAATGGGAGCGGGGTAACCTACGACGGACGTCCTCAGCCGCAGAAAGTCTGCTAAAGAGCTTTGGGAACCTGGTTGTGGCGCCGAGCTTGTTGAGGATGATGCTGGCCTATGCGGTTCGGGCTACGAGCGCGTGGAGAAGCGCCCGACAGCAGCTTCTCAACGTCGAAATGACCGCCTTGGTCTTTGCACAAGGCCGAACATTTACCTCAACATTCTTGTTATCTGCCTTACGCGGCAGTAAGTGGGGAAGCAATCAGTCTAGTGGGCGTCATAGGCGGAGTTCAATCTCCGTACTATTCCACCCGCAGGGACTCCGCAGCATACCGGATTCCCCACTCCACCCTTGATGCGCACTGCATCAGTCGTACCTGAGAGCAGCGCGGCAGAGAACAGCTAGCCTTTGCGATGTCGTAACCGTAACGTAATGTAAGAACTGTCGATGCACCGGGGAATCGTCACAATTACGTAATCAGCAGCATTATTTAAACTCTGTTTGGGCCAACCCTTCAACCTGCTCTTACAGTCCTCGTACTCATACAACCCGATCATCTTTTCGCAACTCGCACCCAAGTTCCCCACAGCCAATTCCAGCAACTCCTAGCATGGCCTGCCAATGCGGTTCTAGCTGCGACTGCAGCGGTCCTCAGACATGCACCTGTGATAAGAATTGCTCCTGCAAGTCTTGCGGTGTAAGTTGGAACTCAAGAATAAAATCTTACACGTAATGACCAGAACTTCCGATGCATAGAAATAAATCCGACGCCTGCCTGTTCAACGCGGATGGTTTTTGCTATCATGGAATCGGGTTGCCACACAGATCCGCTCTAGTTTGCAACGGTTTCCGCGACACTCGTTCTGAATATGTTACAGCTCTGGAGCACCAGGCTGTACAATATGAGATGGTGACTTAGGGATATGGTTGGAGTGTAGTTCATTTATGTATAATGAATACTTAGGAAGTTCCTCGACCTGAGCACTGCTTTATCGTATCTGTTATCACGCGCGTGTATTGGAGTTTATATGTCACGCTCGCCTCGGCCATTGTGCATTAGAAGGAACAGATCTCGTATCTCTGTAGATGTGCGGATGGCTTTCGAGAATCCTAACTATACCAAGATACATGTTCTCCACCAGGCCCCTCATAACTTCGCCTGTTACCCGGCATTTTTAAGACCAATGGCTATGGATGGCCTAGGTTCGGGCAGAGTCCGTCGGTTCTTTGCCTTTTGGGCACGGTCAATGTTTGCGCACATAGTCACGGAGAGGATGAACGCGGCGTGACGGTGTGCCAAGCTGCCAGTCACTGCTGCCATGGCTGCGTCGAGGAACGGGGGCTTCGCTGCAGTCTTTCCCCCATAACACAAATCAACCGCACCTTCTATTTTTCTCGAGAACGTCTCCATCAACAGATCTCGTGCTCTACTATCTGTCACACCTCGATTGATTCCTTCAACACGTCTGACTTCACCTTCCTATGCCCTCGCAACGGTCGAGCCCGATGGAGGCAAAAGGCAACATCAGGAAGCGAGTTTGCAAAGCTTGCGACCGGTGTCGTCTGAAGAAGTCCAAGGTATGTGGGAGCCTGTGTATATCTTCTGGCGCAATGTGCTCACAGAAAATAGTGTGATGGCGCCAGTCCATGCAGCCGGTGCAAGACCGATAATGCCATCTGCGTGTTCAGCGAGAGGGGGAAGTTGCAAGATAAAGTATATCCTAAAGGGTAAGACAGTTCTCTTTTCCCTTCCGGGACGTTATTAATGTGTGTAGATACGTGGCAATACTCGAAAAGCAACAAGAACAACTCGTAGCTGGCCTTCGGAAGGTGTACAGTCGACTACAGAACGGCGAGGGCTGGCCAGGTGGGCCATTGCGCGAGGCACAGGGCGGTCACCCTCTGACTCATGACATCCTTGAACGACTCGACCTCCTACGTTCCAAAGTGGACAGTAACAGCAACTACAAAGGCTTTGAAGAGAGCTGCAATCGCATCCAACAGAAGCTGCTCGAAAGTGGCGCTCCCTATAAGCGTAGGCGAGGGTCTGTGGGCTCCATCTCTGACTTTGGCACGCCATCTTCCTCAACATACGGCGGAGCATCAACGACGAAGTCTTTCCCCTTTACAGATTCGTTCGCGCACAACAATGTGCCGCCAACAACTCTACTGGACTGCTCCTTTTCCAGGCAGTCGCAGGTTATGCCCTTGGTTAAACAAGAAGCGCCCATGGTGTCGCCCACTTTCATGGACGCTGGTGCGGTGGACCTCTCAGCACTTCAGCGAACAGCCTGGACAGGAGATTCGACGGTGATGGATGAGCCACTAGACTTCTGCAGGCCTATGTACAGTCTAGACAGTTTCAACAACTCCGACCAGACGGCGATAATGCTTAACCCGATCGCCGTCAATCCGGACCCTGTGCTGCCTGATTGGAACAACGATGGCGTCGATTTCAGCAACATCATACACAACCAGGCGGTGGCATAATTGGCGCGGCCTCAGCTTTGCAGATGATTAGAGGATTTGAGAGTGGAACAATCAGTAATTGACTAAACTTTGTTTGGTGCGCTTGGCGGCACAGTGTTGTAACAATGTCGCCATGACGTATGGACGCAGCTGAATATGCGATTGTATGACATCTTCTCGCTAACTCAGGATGGCGAGATTGCGCACGAAGAGCTTGACGCACCAGAGCGCGGAAACATCTTGGAGGTACGGTCTCGGCGCCTGTACCTAACCATGCTCCCTCATCCGGTCTGCCTTATCTGCACAGGGAATGAAGAGTTCTCGTATGAACGGAGGATGCGCCATGTTCCACGAAAGGATGTCTTGAAGAAGCACGTGGAGACCCATTTTCGACTCCCTGAACTTCAGTCAAGGTTTCAATACCGCCACCCCAGTTGCGCCGATATGCTGGTTGACATGATGCATTTTAAGGGGTCTGTACCCCCACTCAACCACTGGCTAGTCCAACAGTGATCTAGGAGTTGCATGGCTTTAAGAGGTCTTCAATCGTCAAACTAAAGCCAAAGCTCGGCAGTCATCACAGTTGTCAACAATCAAGTAGATCGGCATATTTGATTCCTATCTAGGTATAACTCGACCCTGATTGGGGAAGTGCTAACCTACATAGGAATCAAGTATGTCGGTCTACTTGATTGTTGGCAACTGTGCGGGCAAGGACGACTACACAGCACCAAGGTCGTACAGACCTATCGCGCTGATGAATACCACCGGCAAGATCATGGATGCAGTTATGGCCCGACGACTCAGCCATCTGGCCGAAACCCACCATGTCCTGCCGCCGACACATATGGGCGGCAGGAAAATGCGCTCCACTGAGCACACACTCCACACCGTCACCAAGAAGATATACGAAGCATGGGATCGCAGGATTGGCCAAGTGGCCAGCCTCTTGCTACTCGACGTCTCTGGCGCCTTCGACAACGTCTCGCATGTATTCCTGCTCCACGACCTGCGGAAAAGACGAGTGGACGAGAAGACAGTCAAGTGGATCGCAAGCTTCCTCAGCAATAGACACACGAGCATTGCTATCGACGGCTTCCAGTCGACGGAGTATGAGATAAACACTGGTATACCCCAGGGACTGTCGCTGTCGCCCATCCTCTACCTCTTCTACAATGCCGATCTAATAGACCAATGCAATCAAGAGACGGACGTCATGTCAACGGGATATATAGACGACATCGCTATACTAGCATGGGGCGAGATAACAAAGCAGACATGCGATAGACTAGGCAAGACCCTCGAAAAAGCGCAATGGTGGGCCACCACACACGCATCCGTCTTCGCCCCGAACAAATTTCAGCTGACCCACTTCACGAGGGCGCACAGGCGCATTGATACCAATAGACAGATCCAAGCCCAGTGGGGCGAGATAAAGCCTACGGCAACATGCAAGTACCTTGGACTGACCATGGATTCTAAGCTGTACTGGAAGGAGCACGCAGAAGAGATAAGACGAAAGGCGACAAAAACGGTGACTGCGCTCAGCTGCCTTGGTAGCTCCACCAGGGGCGCCAGCCTTGTCGACATGCGGAGGATATACGAAGGCACCGCACTCCTGCAGATGATGTACGCCTGCTCGATCTGGTCGAACGCTAGCACGAAAGGGAAGTTGTATACCCAGAAGACACTGGACATACTGCAGAGCATTCAAGCAAGAGCAGCGAGAAACATCTGCGGAGCTTTCAAAGCGACTTCAAGAGCTGCACTCGATGTGGAGGCATTCCTCCTCCCCGTCGAACAGGAGATATGGAAACATAACGCAGGCGTCATCACCCGAATCCTCTCGTGCATGGACATTGCAAGCACCGCGGGCTTCCCGGCAAGCGAAGTGCAACCCACAGCAGCTAAAACCTACGGGAAGCACGTTGACTTATGGCGAAAGACCCACGACAATATGAAGCGCAAACGAAGCCAGGGCTTATACACGCAAGAGCAGATCCCATGCTTCCTCACTCCCCCTCGGAGACGAGGTCCGAACACTTACATCGATACCACAGCCGAAAAAGCTCGGGAGAGACACGGCAGAGAGCATACAAAAGGAGACAACCTCAGCATCTACACAAATGGCAGCGGCATCGAAAGCGAGATAAGCTCTGCAGCCGTATGTCTGCTCACGCAGCAGACGCGAACAGTGCATATGGGATCCGATACGACGTCGACAGTATAGGCAGCAGAGCTACAGGGGATCAGCTTAGCATTGCAGATCGCTCAAGAGTATGCAGAAAGAGGCGGAAGCCGACGAGAGATCGCCATATACACAGACAATCAAGCCGCCATTTGGTCTATAGCCAAAGCAGAAGGAAGATCCGGAGCTTACATTCTCGAAGACATCGCACGACGAATCCAGAAGCTCCAGGATACAGGCCTACTAGTGACTGTCCGACGGATACCAGCCCACATAGGCATTCCAGGAAACGAGGCCGCCGACCGAGCTGCCAAGGAGGCCACTGGATGGACGGAAGACGGCCCACCTCCCCCCCAACACACACACACACACACACACACACACACACACTCTCTCTCTCTCTCTCTCTCTCTCTCTCGGCACACAGATGCCTCAGAATGCAAGGAAATCACCCTAATGTACATACATCGCTCAGCCTCCCCAACTAGAAGGGGAGCTGTAGTTCTGAAATGGTAGTAATACCCGCGCAGGCAAGAAATGATTTCTAAGGTAGTGTGTTAGCACTGTAATCCCATAGCTTATCACGTTCTATATGCCCTTCGGGAGGCGAGATGGTGGACTTCATCCCTATCAACAGACGTAAAATGAATACCAACCAACCAACCAATCCACCGAATGCTGAAGTTATCCTAAAACGCTTCAACAATACAACTTCAGGGCAAGATGAGGATCCAGAAAATCAGGAGGAGGAGGAGGATTGGAGTAGCTGGAGACAGCTCCGTTGTTTATTCGATGCTGCTGTGAAGGATACTACTACAGTTGAAGCCCAGAAGCTGAGCTCTTCACTCCATTCCATGCAGGTCCAAATTGAGCTTCTTCACCATGAAAATAAGGGGCCACGTACAGTTCTTACTATCAAGAAGAAGCACAACAACAAGAGTATTACTATAGCCCCTGGAGAGGATGAGGAATACCTTGGTGGCTTTATGTTTGGAAGTCCTAGAAAGGTAAGGGCAGCTGAGGCGAGAGAGCGCCTGAGAAAACAACAAGATGCGGAAGAAAAGATTAGAAAAGCTGGGGATAAGGAGTTGAAAGCCGCTGCTGCCTTGTATAAAAGGAAGATAGCAGAAGAAGCAAAAGTGTTGCGACAGTTAGCAAAGGAGGCGAGGGAGAAGGAGCGAAAACAGAGGGCTGATGAAGTAGCTGCGCGTAGGGCCCAGAAACAACATGAAAAGGAGGCAAAAGTCGCTGCAAAAGCAATACAATCGTCCCCAAGAGGCAAGAGTAGCAAAGAGGAGGACTGTTAGGCGTGTTGGAGGTAGTGCTATTGCCGTTGAGGCTGCACCACCAGCCCCACCAAAAACAACACGAACGCGATCTATACAGACCCCAAAAAAGTATTCTGAGTAGCACAAGTTGATCGCAAGCATCGAATCATTATTGCCCTACAGAATGTCATGATTATAGCTACTGTGGGTGGCTGTGCAGCCTCATTCTTCAATTTCTGCGCATATTGGTGGGGTGGCTCATCGGGTGAGTCGGCTCATCGGCTGATCACGCACGGTAACAGACGTCATTGGCGAAGCCAGCGTTCAGAAAGTAATGTTTCAATGAGAAAGAGAACTTGGAGAAGCTTGCTTGCTACAAACAACGACCCCAAGCGCCGAGCGTATCTTCTCGTTATAGTGGTTGACGTGCGGGGTTGCAGATTGATATGGTGCAGGCCGCTAAGCAAAGAGGGTATTCGTAGCAATGTGTCTTGGAAGGTTCTTGGCATTGTTCTAGGTTAGCCGGAATCTTGGGGACGCGTAAGCGCCAAATATTGTAGACATCATCCCTTTCTATCATGCGCAATATGGCTGGCCACTATACAACTTCTGATGCATCGTATTCTTGCGCATATTCAGTATCCACTTGTTTAGTGGCTCGTTCTTACCCACATTGAAGCCCTCAAGGACCATGGCAGAATACCGAATAAAGCTTTCAGATGAGCTTAAGAGAAGTTTGATCTCAGAAGCCACGACTTATGGAGACTCCGATGACAACTTGAACGATAGCACTAAAGCTCCCGACACTTCTTCCGATCATCACGAAGATGCTGGGCGACCTACTGAACAACGTCCGTCAACACCTTCGGCATTGTATGAGAAGGCAGATGAAACATGTTCAAGCGCGAATCTTGGCCGAAGCCCGCCAGATCCAAATCTGTTTACTTCTTCAAAGATTTCCCAATCTCCAGGGTATGCACTGCCTGATTGACCAACACGAGCTGCAGCAAGGGCATACGCAGACTGACCTGGCACAGAGATCGCCCGGATAAGGGTTCACGAAGCACTTCAACGCAAAGCACAAGCGGACACATATATGGCAATCAGAGCCAAGGAAATACTTCCAGATAGAAACGCGATTCTGGTCGCCATGACTGATAGTACAACGTTTGTCAGTGGCTGTTAATGCCAAGCCTCTTAGGCTGGGCTGCAATCATTTCACTGCTAGGCGAATCGACGGATCATGGCCAAGTGTCTTTTGACTGCTGTCACCGGTTCAGTTGTTCGATGCAGATGTTCGATCTTTGACACATCTTTTTCTCAATGAGACCAAGTTACGTACATGCAATACATGGATACTCTTCAGACAATTGCGCAAGGTCTGCTAGTGTGCGCGTCCATGGGCCTGAGTCCGAAGTTGGAGGTATCACAATACAACAATTTCTGTGTAATAGCGAGACCAGTTGGCTATATAGTAACCTAGCTCCAAGCCGGGACCGTTCCAAAGTCTGGTGGAAAGGAAGGACCATGTAAAGCATTGTGAAATCTTTGCCGCTTAGCGCAGAGTCAACCGAGCAACATAGGGTCTCAGGTAAAGGACTGTATTTGGCTCAGTTGTGCCTGCCCTCGAGGCCATGAGCGGTAATCTTGTCCTTAAAAGTACCGTACGGACTCGCAGCAGCCATCTCAGCGTACGTTACCGCGCAGAGCCCGGCTGTAGCGGCTAGCTAGGTAAGCCAGGCGCCGGAGCTGCCCACGTTCGAGTCATAGTTGCGCGAGTCGGTGCCCAAAGATGCAACTGTTGCGCCTTGTTGCGGGCTCTGAGGAGACCACGGTAGCTAATTACAACGGAAGCCGAAGATAGCGACAACGACGCTGCTCCTCGTCCATCACAATGGGGTCAAGAAACGGTCAAACCGATATTCACGGACCGATCTCCGCGTGGCTGCAGCGGGTCCCGATGGTGGTGTTTTTTTCGTACGATCCATCACGGTGCTCACACTAATCCTTTGAGAGAAGAAAACGCTCATCAAACACGCTGGTTGTTAAGTCTTCCCAGCTCTTCATCATTTCTTCACGCAGTCCACCATAGAAACAGCTCCTCGCCTTGAGGTTTGTTCCAGCACTGGACAGGTCACTTCCGTCAAACTCACAGCTTCCTGCGTGCTGTCGGCTCCAGTGGCACTCGCTATCTCAGACCTCTATCAATATCTAGGGGTTCTATCCACATCCTAGGTTCTTGTCCGTGGCACTGACTTTCGCAAACGTCCAGTTTGCCTTCCAGTTTCCTTCCTTTTTGTACAGCCACCCTACTGGGCTAGACGTAGAGGAAAGCGGTAATGGCCTCAGCCATGGATGCGCGACGTCTCCTGGCGCACCAAGTCAACGGTAGTGGGGAGGAGGAACCGTCTGCGGGCAATTGCAGCACCATGAACGAGTACGATGGACGGATGGGGCTTCGAATATCCGCCATCTTTATTATCCTTGTTGGTTCGACGCTAGGCGCTCTCTTTCCAGTCTTTGCACGGCGGCACCGGGAGATGGGAATTCCTGAGTGGGTATTCTTTATAACAAAGTATTTCGGCTCTGGGGTGATCATTGCTACCGCCTTCATCCACGTAGGCCCTGAGGTATCTTGTTAGCAGAACAGCAGCTGACTTTGCACAGCTTCTTGCTCCGGCCAACGAAGCCCTCGGCAACGAATGCCTCACTGGTGTCATCACAGAATACCCATGGCCCGAGGGAATTGCCCTCATGACCGTCTTTCTGATGTTCTTTCTAGAACTGATGATGATGCGCTACGGCAACTTTGACGGCGATCATGACGATGGTAACGGTCGCTCTCATTACACAACTCCAGCCCCTCAGGATGGCCATGTGGATTTAATTAGCGTAGATGGCCAGAATAAGTACACGGAGTCCCCAGAAGGCCACAACCACCATGCGCCAGGAGAGGACCATCTTGGTCATCGCCGCGATCATACAGACAATGGCTCTTTAAGACCCGATTGGATAGAACGTGGCATCATTCCTGAGACCTATGCAACACAGATGACCGCCATCTTTATTCTCGAGTTTGGCGTTATCTTCCATTCCATCTTCATAGGCCTCACGCTCGCAGTTTCGGGCGAAGAGTTCGTCACGCTATATATCGTCCTTGTTTTTCATCAAACATTCGAGGGCCTCGGTCTTGGAGCCCGATTAGCAACAGTTCCTTGGCCGACATCGAAGCAGATCACGCCCTACATCCTCGGGTTGGCCTATGGGCTGTCCACCCCTATTGCTATTGCCATTGGCCTCGGCGTCCGTAACACGTATCCACCAGAGTCGAGAACCGCGCTGATCACTAATGGAGTCTTTGATTCCATCAGTGCAGGTGTTCTTCTTTATACCGGTTTGGTTGAGCTCATGGCACACGAGTTTATGTTCAGCCCATACATGCAACAGGGCTCTGTATGGAGGATGTTGAGCGCCTTCTTCCTCATGTGCCTCGGTGCCGGTGAGTTATTCTCGTATCGTTTCCTTCGTTTGGATTCCCGGCTGACATCGTCCATAGGTCTCATGGCTCTCCTCGGTAAATGGGCATGAATCTTTCCACCGAGGTCCAAGGAGACAATATTGACCTACAACCATCACAACTTTTGGGCACATGCCCACTAGACCATGGTGTGGCGACAGATACTAATCTTTTCCCGTGGTTCAATGAAAGGAAAGGTGCTGTGGCATCTCATACTCCAACTGAGGTCATGTTTTCTGTACGGTACCTAAGAACATCCCAGGTAGAGTCGGCTCTATTAAATGAATGATACAGGTGCCTACTTATGCACATTGAATGTCGGCTTGTAGTGTGCATCAGTGCGTCGAACGTATATCGAAATTCACAACATACAGTTCCCCTGATCCTCCCTTGGACTCTCTGCAACCCTATATATGCGTTGAGGCAATCGTCGGATTCCTTGTTTTGAAAAAGGCAAATCAGCTCAATTTTACATCCGCAATAATGCTAATCACATAACAGGAGTTTCATCAGGAACTGAAGAAGCTAGCCACGTAAGGTGTATCCCGCTAATTCGGTATGTTCTGGCAAGGTCATCCAAGTCTCGGTGATACAATGCTCAGGATGACAAAATTTCCACCTAGTGCAGCACTTCATTTAGAACTTCTAATGCCGATGACAATCCCGTTCTCTATCTCCTTGAGGCGTTAAAGCACGCAGTCGAGATATGCTTGGATGGAGCCAGTGATGGACAAAGACGTCTGTGGTTACATACTGTTTTATACGAAAATGAAACAGGCATATGACCGGTTTCCTATGAAGCTCAATCCCAGATCATTTATATGCTTTGGTTAGTTTCATACGTTGCATGAAATACCCGACACTCCTGTATAACGTTATATAGTCGTTGAAATAAGGAAACTTTCTGTATCAAAGGCAAGGAGAGCAGATCTCAAGCCCATCAACCTAATTTGCAAATCATGATCAGTACGAGGACGATGTTTCCTAGTAAAATTCTTTGGGAAATCGCGTCACGCACATCTATTGAAGTACTCTCGATATGGCAGACATGCCCATATGGTCCACTTATCAGCAACACCATGACGTCGATCAGGAGCTACTTCAGCGGCTGCTCAAAGGCCACAGATACCGACAGAATTATTCTTGCCCCATCATCTATCAGTCCTCGCCGAAATGACGTCGCCGACGACACGCTGATCGGGCCCGACGAGTTCAAACTGAATGGGAAGCAGTATGTCCGCTGCTGCGTTTTTGCGAAGCGCCAGAAGCATAATAAGAAGAGGACGTCCATTGTCTGGATGCATGGCGAGGATATCCAGCGCAAGCAGAATCCGACGAAAAGGTTCTGGTACTGTTACTAATGCGAACAAAAACATCACCAGCAGGAGCTTCCAACATCCGGAAAGGGTAATACTACTGCCCTAGACCACCTCGAATCAAAACACCAAATTGATAGGAAGACCGGTGAATTCAACCCGAGAAAGAAAGGTTCGTCACAGCCATCAATCATTGACTTCAATAGTATATCCACCCTTGTATTCAAACGCCGATTTGACATTCGGTGGATCGTCTATTGCCATATCGCCTTCTTTCAGATTGAAGATGCCTACTTTCGCGAACTCCTCTTTTACATCTTTCCTGGCCTAACAAAGCTCCTCCCGAAGGCCAGGCTGATAATTCGCAGGTGGATTAAAGAGGCGTTTGACGCAAGGAAGGAGAGGCTGCGTCTGGACATGGAAGAGGCCCACAGCAATGTGTCGATTTCGTTTGACTTATGGACGTCACCTAATTATCTGGCCATACTCGGTTGTGTCGCTCACTTCATCGACAAAAAGGGTAAGCGATGAACAGCTGTTCTTGCGCTTCGTGAACTCGCTGGCGAACATTCAGGCGAAAATATGGCGGATGTCCTCCTCCATATATTCGACGACTATAAGATTAGTGGCCGAATTGGGTACTTTATGGCAGACAACGCGAGTTCAAATGATACCTGCGTTGACCTGGTCCTTCAAGCTCTTTATCCAAACATGAGCAAAAAGCAGCGCCTACGACGACGTCTTGGGTGTTTTGGCCATATTGTCAACCTCTGCACGCAGGCTTTTATCATCGGAAAGGACGCAGAGAAGATTTGCAGGGACCTTGAAGCTGCATATCGCGAAGGGGATTTGAAGAGAATTGGTGAGCTCTGGAGGAAGCGCGGTGCGATAGGAAGGCTCTACAATATTATACGACATATTAGGGCCAGTCCTCAACGCCGTCAGTTCTTTAGATCAATTGAGATTGGCGGTGATCTAGCTGCCTTTGATGGATTAGAGGTGAGTATCTTCAGCTACGACCCGCAGTTAAGGATGTTATTAAGGTACTAATGCTACTTTCTTTATAGGTTATTCAGAGCCAGTCCACGCGTTGGAACTCATACTTCCTGTCTATCGGACGCGCCCTTAACGTTAAAGAACGTATTCAGCTCTTATGTGATCAATACGAGCCTCCGTCAGACACAAAAGATGTCCTAGACGACCGCCTAACCCCACGGCAATGGGACGAACTTGGCCACCTCCATGACCAACTTGAGACGTTCTACGAGGCTACCCTAATGAATGAAGGGAAGCAATGGACTCTTGCTGATCATTTTCAGTCGTTGAACTGGCTAGTTGATGAAATCCAAATTGCCCGACAGAAATTCGAACAGCTTGCCAAAGGCGCCCTTCGAAAGTGTGGCCATAGGCAGGATAAGCTGAACAAAGCTGTTCTCTAATCCAATCACGACAAGCTGAGTCGTGATCTTGCCCATCATAAAACTCGCTTCGTCGAGGTTGAAGACGTCCTCATCACAGATACCATATGTGGCCTTGGTGCGCTGTACGAGGTCAAACCAGCTGATAATAAGCCCTGGATCCTCACACAAGGCTCTCTGCCTGTCGTACGGCCGATTGAAACGTGGCGTAAGGGAAGGCGTACCGTTGACAAAGTTCTTTGGCCACTCCTGGCCTACCGGTCCTGCGCCGCGTGCAGCAAGCAGCTTATCAGCCATATCACGTACAGCACCCAGAGTGGGCGCAAATCCGCGTGAGTCTAAGTCCAGTATATGCGTAACAACCACCTTCTCTAGCTGCGTAAGCTTCTTTGAATTGGGCTGGCAATCGCGCCGTGCAGGCTTCCCGGTGCGTCGGTCACGCAGCGTTGATTAGGAACGTTAAACGTCGATGCAGCACGTCTAACGCGTGGTATATGAGTAGTACCAAGAGCTGAGATAGCAAGCTAGATATCAGCTTTATTTTGAGACAAATGAGTACTAGTTGGTGGTGCCATTGCTGTTGAAAGATAACGCGTTGAGAAAGTGGGTGGGGTGCACGACTGGCTTGCCTCAGCTTGCCAGTTACATTAAGAAATCGCGCTTCGTCTAGCTACATACAATAGTCTCTCGAGCTGAGCTCCCAAGTGTCCTCCCATGGGTTCGCGGTCCGGCCTCGGCCTGGCCTTTCCCTAGAATCTTTCAAAGTCCCGTTTTCTGCAACGACAGTGGTTCAGCCTTTTTGTGTATACCAGAGGCGCCGGTAGTGGTAGTGGTCGCAGCCCCCGAAATCAGTTAAACAAGCTAGAAGGACGCGCAGCCCTCATTCAATAGTATTGATAGAAGTGAAGAATGTGTGAGATGGAAGCGAAAATGCGAGGCGACCGTGACGATAGGAAAACGCCGGAAAATGCGATATGGGATATAACCCAAAACGCTCAACAACACAAAAAGCGGAACAACAATGTGGCAATCAGATCTCGTTGCGATCGTCGAGCTCGAACCTTTTTTTTTTCGCTTATGCGGCGGTGAAATGGCACCCTTTGATTTACGAATTGGGGTTTTGGTGAGCCAGGCCCGATCGATCGGTTGTTTAAGACGAAGAACTTTTACAACAGGCCAAGTATCGCGAAGCCGGCAGCGAATCCGGGAATGGTGACAAAAGCCAATGTTTCGTGAGCCAGAACATGACCTTGACGCCGGTCCTGTGCCAGCTGTTTCCGAGATGGTGCGTGAAGAAGCTCCATGCATGGTTGTACTCTTCCGGGAAAAGAATGCGTACGCGGTCGCCATCGACGGGGCCGGCGTTGTTGCAGTGCCTCCAGACGATGCTGAGGAAGAGCGGTTCGGTAGACGCCATAACAGTGGTGTATGGCAGTGGCCAGCAACGGTTGTAGTCCGTCAACGAGCCGATCGCCTTCAAAAAGAAGGGATGGCGGGGAGTAGCGCTCATAGCGTCGTTGGAGATACCGGTGGGGATGGTGCGGCGGACCCACGCAGGGCAGGCGAGGAGAGGATCGAGGCTGCGATTGCATCCCTGGGCTGCGTCAGTTCGGTATCGGTCTCATATCGTGCTTGGTACATACATCGTCCAGATCAATGTAGATTCTGCCGAAATGATGCAGCACGAGGTATCGAATGGCATCGGTGCGCGGAATGGGATAAGGGTAGCCGTCAAAGGTCTCAAGAAACCATGGGTATCTGGGCATGTCAGCCTGCGTGTTCTAAGCCATGGGCCTGCTGGTACATATTTGGCAGCAATAAACTCTCGCGACTTCTTATCAATCCATAACTACGCGCTGTTACCCTCTGCACCCATTGTTCACATCTTTTTCTATGGTACCTTCGTACTTATGGCGTTGAAAGCTTAACGTTCGTCTTGTATTATCTGTCCACAGTCCAGAGTAGCGGTATTTGGCGCTGTCGGTGCTGCCAACGATGAGGTGCGCTACGTCCGAAGTGAGGTTGAGCTGATTGTCGCGCCCATCTGCGCGCCGATAGCCGCAAGTTGCGCCTATTGAATATTAGATAAAGCGACATACTACAGGAGTTGATAGGCATACGCGCTGCTCGGGGGCAATGCAGATGCAGCAGAGCATGGCCCCAGCCAGGGACAGCTGGCTTGTCCCTGTGTGGTGTAAGTCCATACCCGTGGTAGAAATATCGCTAGACATACCATAGCCTCCATCAGTCGCATCCATTTGGTTGTTGCTGCATGCAGAAGTCGCGATGTCGTGTGCTTGGTGCCGAGAGGAAGCGCGTCCGAGCTAAGCCTTGCATTACCACGCGTTGAAGGGGAGGCGACATCACGTGATGCAGCCACTGCCGATTGCCATTGCCTCGTCTCGGCGCCATCTTGCTGCTCCTTCCGCACAGCCTTGGAGATCCCCCAGATGATCCGAATCTCGCTACACGAAAGCGTTTTTGTTGCCAGGTATCCACCATTGCCATCATCGAACTACGTGCGAATGACAAACTCTTTCTTCCTGAACTCGCTTTTCGGGGCTGAGCTAGCAGTGACTCCTCTCGATAGCGCACCATGTGGTGTGCGCTGATCGATCGGCTCGCATCTCCTGTATCTCCTGATTCTGCACCCCAGATGACGATACATGCGCATTTGGGCCTGCATTTTTGTTTTCGGGCATCGTGGGATGCGAGACGCTGACGCCCTGCTTGTATTTGATATTGCCGGGCTACCTGCCAATACTGCCAACATGTCCACAGCCCCTGGACGCGCACTATGCTGCGAGCGTGGGACGAATGGTTGAGGAGCAGGAAACTCTCGCTCGACCGACCCGACGCACCTCTCTTACTGGCTTTGTACCAATCCTAAGTCTCACGAGCCGTCCAAGAGGAAACTCAGATGCAACAATAGCAACACCAGCAGCACTAACACTTACACGCCCACAAGCAGCACACATTGGCGGGCCGAATGACTCAACTGTACAACGACCCATCCACTTTATGCGTGTACCCTCATTCAACCCTCCAGCCTTCTCAGAAATAGAACCACCACCACCTTTAAAAACGCCACCCCCTCTTTACGAAACAACTGTATCGCCTTCAAGTGGTTTAGCAGATTACTTCTCTCGCTTATCAGAAGCATACGACTCCGACAGTGATCCCGAGCGCAACGACCGCGCGCGCGTTGAGATACCCCTGACGCCTGGTGGTCGCACAAATAGGAGTATGGACGAAAGGAGGATCTGATTACCCGTGGGTCACTGAGCTGCAAGGGTCAAGTAGCGGAGATATCAGCACCATAGGCTTCTGCTCTTGCTTGATCTAGTATTTGCCAATTCTACTATCTCAGGCGACTATGCAGCGACGATTCATAATAGACTGTACCCAATGAATGCAAGATAATCAATCCCGTCTATTCTGTGTGGCTGTGATGGGTTGAATAGATGGAAATAGATGCAGTTTCGGGGTGTTGATAATGCCGTGTTGCCGTAGCGTTCGGCCTGGCACTCAAAAAGTCGAGCTCCTTCGTAAATATAAGGCGTAGCTCGAGGAATTAGAGCAGGTTTGACGGATGAGGTTCCCAAAGAGGCCATGACATTACACAAGATGGTCAGTGGCATGGTCCCGTGACAATCCCGTATTCCATACACGTCTACATTTGGCACTAATCAACACTTCTTAACGTATACGAAGGTGTCAGGTGAAGAAGAATAAGTCGGTCGTATTACAAGCTATGTACGATGGGAGTAATATATAGACAAAAGTACTAAAGGAGACTAACCTGAATAGTCTGGCAACACTACGTACTAGTCCACCTTGTGTGCCAAGCCCTTGCGCGCCAGCAACGGATAAACGCGCGTATTGCGGCAGCGCAATAGTATCAGATCGATACAATACTATTGTTCAATATCGGTCAGCTCGCATGATACTGCACGATCATGCCACGGGCGCGGTGATTGAGAACTTGGCAGTGATGTATCCAAGTGCCCGGGTTGTCCACAATCATGCTTAGCGACCTCGTTTGAGCGGACAAAACATTGATCTGTCACACAAATCAGTAAGTACGCTACGGGTTGCACCTCTTCGGAAAGAGAAATGTTGGACAAAAAGAAGGAAACACTTACAACATCCACTCTCTGTTGAGCCCAAAGTAGGACGTTACCGTGCCAATGCGGAGTATGAACGTTGCGCACGTCACCAAGCGCTTCCTGTGGGCCATAATCAGTTGTGCTTGCAAGTCTCACACAACAAGCTCACTTACAACATGCCAACGAGCGTTTCGGCCCACGGTCAGATTCAAGCCGAATAGATTACCAAACATGCGCCCGTTGATACTATGCTTCATGTTGCTCTGCTGAAAACCTGGGTCCAGCCTGGTAACCTGAAGCTCGCGCTCCGAGATACTCGTCTTGTTGAGGGTGTTTTCATCGATGTAGTAAGAGAGGTTCTCATCCACGATGAGAAACAGTGTCAGCACTTCTTCTGTCAGATTCGACCCCGCCGGAGCCGGTACATTCAAGGTGTGCTTTGCGAGTTCCCCCGGACGATAGACGATGGAAGCACCCACCAGGCCGCTATTCACGTCTTGCTGGCCGGCAACATCGGAGTGATAAGTCCAAGCTAAAGATGGGGGATCCAATGGTCCGGGTCCTGAACGTTCTAGACAATATTGATAAGCTTTTCTCCGTCAGCAGTAGAGCAAATGCAACTCACCTGGCACTTCCCAGGTGTATGTCCAAGTCGATCCAGGCGCAACAGAATTCCCTTCAGACTCTTGCCCTGCGGCAGCAAGGCCTTCGCTTGGTTTGGCGTAGCGAAAGCCATGGGGATGCATCGTATGGTTATGAGAAGCCATATTTTTAAACACCACCTTTACGGTGTCTCCTACCTCAGCACGGATTATAGGTCCGAGCATACCGAGCCACTGGAGGACAAGAAGTTAGGAACGGTTGTATCTGTTTTGAAAACAACTGCAGACTTACCTCTGGCCTTGGGGCTTGCTGCGTGAATGATCCGTCCTGGTACTCTCGAAATAAAGCTTTCTTGTAAACGTGTCCTATTCTTTGGCCATTCCTTGTACCGAAAGCAGCGGCCTGGGGAGAATCTTGCACTGGCATCCCGTTGATCATGTCCATGTCGCTAAAAGTCTTAGAAGTTGCGTAAGACAGGTGTCCTCCGGTTGAGCGACTTACCTAGGCATGTAGTCCCACTCTTCTTCCACAGCGGCGACATAGTAAGTCCTGACAACGCCAGATGTCACATTTTCGTATCCGGCCGATGCGAGCGCGGTGCGAGCAAGAGCCGCAAACAGGAAAGTCTTCCAGAGATAGAAAACTACGCGATGAAACATGATGGATTGTTGAAAGCGCGCTTCTCGCTCTAACGTAGATAGGTGGTGATTAAAAAACAGTCCGTTAATATAGTTTCACTGTTTAGCTAGATCGTCGGCTTTATATATGGGGTGGAAGTTCTTCCGCGGCAGCTGCACTAAGTGTACACTGTGCCAGCTACCTTGACCTATGTCTGACGTATGAACTTCGTTTAGGCGAATCACTGCAAGAATGCGCTTATACAGCTTGCACTGCCAGGAAGCCCTTCCGTGTTTGTTCATAAAAGCATGGCTAAACTAAGTTTCTCCAATATATTGCATGGCGGTGATCTCGCTGCCGTCCCCACCAATAGAATGGCACAACCCTTGCTAGTGAAACCCACCACTTGGCAACCGCTCAAAACGCGCATCCACTACTGCAAACCGCACAAACCACGCATTTGCGTTCAAAGACCACACAAAGATCGCACGTCCACTGCGAACCAATAATTTGAAGCTACGAGTCATAACGGCTCCCCAACAATTACACTTGTACAGGTCCCAGCACCAGCGTGGGAAACCTGGATCCGGTCTAGCTATGACTAGATTTCGCAAATGGCCTTTTGCTGTTTCTCAGAGTAATGTAACTCCGGTGGCCATCTCGGGTCTTCGAGCACCTGAAAACCGGTTTTCTAGAGGAGCCGTAAACCCAAAGGCCCTAGTCAGTTGCACAACAGGTCCTGCACCGTAATTCGTAACTATGACCGCCTGGTCTGTTGATTCGGACGCGTAGACCTGCATGTGGGGAGAACATCTATTGCATGCGCGACCGGGAATCGAAAGCTGCCTGTATGTCCATCCTTAATAACGTTCTAAGCGACGTTGAAAGTGCTGCCGTCACCGTGTTGTAAAGCGTTTAGCGTCAATTGGGACAAAGCATTGCCTTACCCGTTAGAAATATGTGGTCTAAGACTCCGTTGTTGATGGGATTCCAGCAGCAATTGGCCATCCACGACATCATTACGTTCAAATTATGGCGGTCTGCAGATATGCGGAGACATTCATCGGATCCCCAGGGTGGTATGCATTGCACCATCCCGCATATGCTACACCTCCGTTAGCGCCTGCTAGGTGCTCAACACTTCCGTATCCCAGTCTCGTCGTGTTGTTCCATGTCAAGCATGTATCCCGTGTCAGGGAAGCAAGGGCCGCCCCTGACGTTCCTACTGGGCGATGATTGTCCTGCCGTCGAGGATGAACGCTGATTGCTGCTGTTATCGTCACATCTGCAGAGCAAGAAAAGAGCACTAGGCAGCTTGAAGTGCTTTTGTCCGTCAACAATGATTCGATCCACCGATTTTATGACGTCGGCGAACCTGTCTTGCCTTGTTGAGTATATCAGTTTAGCAGCACACAGTATCGCTGTCGCAACCTTTACGCAGTGCCGGAATATGAGCGGGTACGGTAAGGTTTTGTGGGACAATCGCAGTCATTATGGAGAATGAAGGAGGATTAAATGTAGAGTTCACTATTCGTAACTCTCGGTGTCTCATTTCCTACGTCGGCATTTAAGTCTGATATGTATAGATAGAGCTTTGATCACCCAATCTGCGAATGAAGGACAGCAGTCACTGCCTCGAATGGTTGCTAGTAGCTTCCTTGCTACTCTATATAATCAACACAGTCCAAATGATCATGGCCTCGAGGACACCCTTTAGGACACCTTCTTCACATATGGTGCGGCTTCAAATCTTGATGCAAACATATTTTCTTCTGTACAAAGGGGAAGTAAAGTGGGGAGCAGGGGTTAGAAGTTGTGATTTGGTTTGGTTTGGTTTGGTTTTGTTCTACATTTGATACGGAGCCGGTCATACCAGAGCGGGATTTCACTCCAGTAGCTTGACTAAGCTTGTGTTGGTCTATTCGATGGGTTTGTTTTATTCTATCGCGGCCTTAACTAAAAAGAAAAGAATCAAACGGTCATGAGAATGATCGTCCTCAGGGCAAATACGCTGCTAACTCTAATCCTCCACTGGACGGTATCATGAGACTCCTGAATCCGTTCTCTGGGTTACGTATATATTCAAGGAAATCTTTGTACAAGAACTTAGCTATCCCAACATTGTCCGCAATGACAATAGCACCATGCTTCAGCCTCGGTTGTACAAGTTTAAGAGTAGAAAGTGCGAGAGGTGTCCAGACTGCAGACGTTAGCAAAACCTCACGAGTATGTAGGAAAACTCAAGGAAAACTTCAGTGGGAGCACGTACTATCCAGCAACAAGAGGTCGATCTTTTCCGGTATGCCCTCATCAATCCTCAAGGTCTCCAGAATATCCCCCTCGCGAAGCTCAATCCAATCTTCTACATCGGGTCCCGCCTCTTTCCAGTTTGCTCTAGCTTTCGCAGCCTTGGATGGCTCTAGCGAGCTGACCAGCCCCCAGTGCGTTCGTCTCGCGAAACAGAGATGGACGGCTTCTCCAAAAAGTCGAACGAGGAGCGAGCCAGATGCAGAACCCGCTGCCGCGAGAAGCTCGCACAGCACATCGGTATGGAAGAAGCACTCAGGCAGGCGCGTTCGCTAATGCAGGACAAGAGCAGCAGCTAGGCTTCCGGATAGATCCCCTAGACGTCAGGCTCATCACCGGACATGACGAAGCGTATACCTGGAGCTACATGCCAGAGAAGGCATATCTGTTTCAGAAACATTTGAGCAAACATTCGATGGGTGCATGCATAGAGCTTTACGACGAGGTGGGGAAGACGTTCGAGGCAATCAAAGCCGCTAGAGCACCTGATTGCCAGACAGAGGTCGACGTCAGCTTCACAGGCACGATCAGGCAGTTAGAGCAGAAGTACGCGTTGCTACAGCAAGACCATATCCATGTGGTCGAGGATTGCGAGCGTTGGAAAGCACAGGCGACGAAGCATGAGCAGCTCAGGGCGAACGCGGACAACGAGCTTGCGGTCAAGAAAGCTGACTTGGAGTCTGCCCACGCCGTCGCCCAAGACTTGCGCCGGCAGCTGCAAGTCGTATCTGAGGAGTTGGGAGGGTTGCAGCAACAGCACGCCAGGACTGTACAGGGAGTAAACGAGATCTCCAGAATGTGGGAGGACGTCAGATCTGGATTACGTACCGTTGCCGGACCTGCCACTGTGTGACAATGCCGGCATATAACATGATTCTGTCGTGAAAACACCATGCTCCTATACAGACCTCGTAAAGCACGTGGCATTGTCGGCTGTTTGTTGTTAGACTTACCCAATGAATTCCGTAACGAGACTCTCCAGCCGCCAGTGCTTGTGTCCAGGCGACCGTCTCATGCTGCAAGCCGTGCCTCGACTCTAAAAGCGCTGCAGGGCAAAGTCGGGCTGCTCGAGTTCCCATACTAATCACAACAGTCTACAGATCGATCCTCCTTCTGCCGTACAGTGTCGGCACCCTCCAGGCATCCAGGTCTCATTTAGTCAGTTAAGGAATCAGCAGCTCGGACCCTGCGACCACACATCGATGCACACGGGCATTTAGATCGACAAACCAACATGCCGTCAGCACAGCAGCGGCCCACTCCACACAGCCCAGACCAAGCGCGCATGCTTCTGGTCGCCAGGCCGAGGGCGATAGACTAGCAGATGCGGATACTACAGCCCTGTGCAGTTGATACCACTTGGGGTCGTGCTGCTTCGGGATAGAACCACTCGGGTAGGGACGACTTTGGATGAGCACTACTGTAGATGGCAGTCGTCTAGGCAAGGTTTCTCTTCGAGATGAGAGAGCGGCGCGCCTCGATATTCTCCCGCCGTAAAATCCCTCCTGTCGCTTGAGCGTCGCTCGCTCAAGACAGACACCCCAAGGGTATCCGCTCGATCGACCGTCCTACTTAAAAGGCGAGACCCGTATATCACACCCATACAAAGTCACCCACGCCGCCACCAGTCCCCAATGCGTACAGAAAGCGATCTCCACCGCCTAAGTCGGAGACGGCCACACACATCATCCTACAGAGCGTCGATACTCTCCGTCGCAAGCCTGCACACCGAGACTCTCAACATCTGGTCCCATCTACTCGGCGCGCTCTGGTTCGGTGCCAGCATCGTGCGCTTCGCCCTTGTTCACCAGGGTCCGCTCACCCGCGATGCAGTAGGTGTTTCGCTCTACCTCGCGGCTACGGCTCTGTGCTTCGCCAGCTCGACCCTGTACCACGTCTTCGCCGATCACGTTCACGCTTGCTTCTGGCTGCGCATCGACATGTCGGAAGGACCGGCTCAGCGCGCATGTGGCTTTGGGAGTGGTCGCGGCCATGCCCTGGCTGCGCTGCTATTATCTCCACGTCCAAGGGCAACGTGTGGAGCTGCTAACAGAATTCCTGAGCCTCGTCATCATGAACAGCTTTGGCGGCGGCATCTACGCAACTCACGTTCTCGACAAAGCGATCGGTATGGACTTCGGCTTGCCAGATATCAGCCACCACCTCATGCACGTCGCCGTGGTTTTCGGAGCCTTGATGTACTGGCCGGGACTCTTGGCTTTCTACGAGGCCCGCGTAGCTGCCAATGGACCGCGGTGCTGTCTGTGAGCGGAAAAGACACGGGGTGTGGCAAGGAGAAGATTGGCGCGGTGTTGTTGGCGACAGCAGGATGGCGATAATCTCAAGGTTGGCCCTTTCGGCGCATGGATCCGCCGCTTGATGTGTATCCCTGTTGGTGTTGTGCGGGTCTTTCTGTAGAGCTGCTGCGATGGTGGGATTGCGTGGTGGTTGTGCTGCAGAGTCCTATAGACAAGCTAGGTTTAGACTATTGAACAAGAATCCATCCCAGCACACAAGTGTTTCAGAGGTTGTGCTTACTAACACCGTGCTACGTATCTTGGTGTCCTCACACCTGACCGTACGGCAACGGCTTGTTCGCAATACTGGTTCACCCGTAATCCGCGCTACCGGCACCACGGCAAGGTCTGGACATCACGCGTAACTAGCTTCAGAAACACCCCGCCTCGCGCTTTGCCAAGGTAAGTTGGCCGATCGCAAGACTTGCAGCTTGCGCACATACTAGCGACGATGTTATTTCCTCTACAGAATGGTCTTGCATACAGTCTGATAGTGTCGCAATTCGCAAGCAAGACGACAAGGCTTTACAGATGTGAGTAACTGCTCTGCCCCATTTATGAGGCTACAGGCGGGCCCATCCCGTCGCAACCACGCATGAGTTACTCCGCGCTGTTCTGACTCGCCTCTATCAAGCGAAGTGAACGAAGATTACAGGAGGTACCTCGACACACCCACTCACTGTCCACACGGTTCCGCTGCGGTCCCGCCAAGCGCACAGTGTCCATGCTGCATCTTCGGATCGACAAGCTGGCTAACAGTGCAGCCGCTGATAGGACTGCCATGGCCACGAAGACAGCGTGGAAGCCGCGGGAGTACGAGCCTAGCAGCGCACTCTTCCTGGGGTCAACATCGGCCATGCTGTGCAGGATGAAGATGTAGCGCTCGGAGTCCCGGGCGATGTCCGTAGGAAGGCCGGCGTCAGACAGCGCGGAGCCCATCGCATTCTGGAAGACGGTCCCCGACAACTAGGTGAAGCGGTCAGCGCGGCGAACACACGGCGTGCAGAGCGACTGCGGACTTGTAACGTACAGCAACACCGACGGGCATGCCCAGGCTGCGCATGAAGCCGTACATGCAGGCAGCCATCGCACGGTCCTCCTTCTTGGCAACGGTCTGGTTGGCGATAGCCTGGGTTGCGACGTTGACGCTCGTCAGCACCATACCATTCCCCACGCCGAACACCGCAAGGGCGAGCGCGAAGATCGCCTTCTCGGTGCGCTCATCAAAGACAGTGAACATGCCGCAGGCGACGAGCGTGACGCTCCAGCCCAGCCAGATGGCCCACCGAAAGTGCCCGAGGCGCGAAGTGAGGATGGCTACCACGACCGAGCCGGGAACCAGAAGACAGACGGCGGGGAAGAGATCGATGCCGGCACGGACTGGCGACGAGCCGCGCACCGACATCTGGTAGAAGGGCACATAGTAGAGGCCTGTGAAGAGCTGGAGGTTGGTCAGCACACAAGCACGTCTGCAACGGCTGGAGGGGAACACGCACGACGAGGCCGTTGACAAGAGCGCAGAAGAAAGCTGCAGCCGAGCTGGCACTCTGCAGCAGCGACACAGGCAGCAAGCTGTGCGGCTGTGCACGCCACTGCCATGCGACGAAGCCGGCGATACCAAGCACGCCAGCCACGACGGGCGCGACGGTTGCTGCCGATGGGCGCGACGGTTGCTGCCGATGCCCACGGATGCTGCGTACCGCCCCAGGAGATGCCAAGCAGGAGGCTGGTGGTGCTGCCGACAAACAAGAATGCGCCGAGCCAGTCCATGCGCCGCGGGTGATCGGCGAGCGGCACGTCGACGTCGTCGACAAAGAGCAGCGCAGCAGAGAACCCTAGGAAGCAGAAGGGGAAATTGATGTAGAAGCACCAGCGCCAGGAGGCGCTCTCCACGAAAGCACCCCCGAGCACTGGCCCGATGATGCTGCCAATGGACCACGAGGCGAGCACCATGGAGAAGTACTGGGGCCGCTGTCTCAAGGGAACCATGTCGCAGAAGATGACTTGGGTCATGGCGATGACGCCCCCGCCTCCGACGCCCTGCACGCAGCGCCCGATGAGCATAACGGCAAAGTCATGCGCCACCGCGCAGAACGCGGTGCCGAAGGTGAAGAGGACGATGGACATGATAAGCAGCCGCTGGCGCCCGCAGCAGGCGGAAGCTGCTGCGATCACGGGCTGGAAGACGGCCGAGATGAGGAGGTAGGTGGTGCCCGTCCAGAACGTCTCAGCGGCTGACCCACGAAGCGAGTGGGATATCTCCTGTGTCGAGTGCGTCAGCGCTGCACTGTGGTTAGAGAGGGCTCAAGCCTTACCGGCAACGCCGTCACCAGGATGGTGGCATCGAGCGAGACCACAAAGGATATGAGGCTTAGGCTGATCATGGCAAGCCACTGCTTGCGCTCCGGCTTCCCTGTGGTTAGAGGTTGCGTCAGCAGTACTCGGCAAGCAAGCAGGCCTGGCCTGGGAACACTGCTTACAGTCCGTACGATCGTCTGGCTCGTCTTCGACAGCTTCCGCGACGGCGGTCTCTGCGTCAAGCTTGAGCAGGTGCGTCGTCGAGCCTGACGTGGAGACGGAGCTCTTCGTGTAGGCTCTCTCGGGCTTGCAGGGAGGCATGGTGCCTCTCGCGTCGCCTGCAGCTGCGCGCCTTAATCAGCAGGTGAGACCAGGTCGACAGGGACGAGGACGTACGTCGGTTGCACCCAAAGCTGTTCTCCAGCTCTTTGACGAATTGGCGCAGCTCGTAATCGTCAGCTTGGTGACTGAGGGACCATCGGGGCCAGCAGGCGTGCTTGTGGTTGTGCTGGCGGTCATGCTCGCCGCTCTGCTCGCGCTCACGCCCATGTCTCTGCTCTTTGGAGGATGGCATGGGCATTGAGCGGGCCATCTTTCCCATCAGAAGAGCCAGCGGCAGTCAACTGGAGGCGAGGTGAAGGCGGAGACGTAGTGCAGAAGGAGGCGGAGGCGGGATAGAGGAGAAGGGGTAGGGTTCTGCTTCGAGCTCTAGGCCTATACGCGTGCAGTCGAGGCCGAACACGCAAAGAAGCAGCAGGGTGTAAGCGTGAGGCCGCGTTCTGTGCCCAGGGGCGGAGGCTGGATATACAGTCCGAAGCAACCATCACCTGGTGTGAGACGTCGATCCTCTCATCAGATTGCAGCAGCCAACGACTCCAGTGCAGACAGCGCAGTACCCGCATCAGCAAGGATAAGCTAAACACAGGCCAAGGGATCAGCCAGTTGCGCAGTCGAGTTAGCCAAATGTAAACACACCAACCATCTACTGTACCATCGCCACTGCAGCGATGCACCCACCTCATAGTACAGGACCTCGCGTGGGGACTGCACAGCATAGGCCATGTGGACGACTGAGTAGAGCAAGGCGGGGGCGCGCTGCCGCGCTGCTGCACTGCGTGTCTGTTCCCATGTGGTTTCGTGCTGATGGCGAAACTAGCGCCGATGAACAACCTGGGACACTCGTGCTGGCTCACTCGATGAGTGGTTTGCCGATAGTGCCCCAAGTCACTCGGGATAGCTACGCGCATGACCAGTCATGATTGACGAGGTGTTGGTCCACGAGCGAGTCGTCCACGAGTGGTTTGCCACCAATCTATGGCTGCGTAGGACGCCCTGCGCGTAGCTAGCGACGTGCAGTACTGTCGCTGCTCACAGCGGTAGTTGTTCGCTCGCCGGGAGCGGATAGGACGCACATCGATCCAGCACACATCAGCCGGAAATTCTGCTGAGTGCACTGGTCAAGCTACGTTCTGGGGTCTGACTACGCTACGCAAAGAACACAGCAGAAGGCAGTTCGAGTACGTCAACAAATCAAAAGGTCGTGCAGAGCCAACCGTACTTGACATGGTAGATTCACATCGAGTTGCGGTAGTCTTGCACGCAACGACTATATCCTCGCCCGGTTGTGTTCAAGCTTCAAATCCCACCCCGCTATCCATGCCACTAGTTGACTCTCTGTGATAGGTGCCACCTCAGGCAGGACGGCTGAAGCGTTTCCGTTCTCCGCCGCCATGTCGTGCTCTCTGCCACTTCCTGCCGCTCGCAAGAAGGTCTCTAGCTTCACCGCTCCCGGCTCCAGTGCGTCCAGCCACTTCGGAAGACTAACCTCCGTTGCTCTCAACCCAAATCGGCTCTGCAATGTCTCAAACAGCAATCGCCACAGAGCAGGCTGCGGATGCATCATGTTGAAAACCTGCACGTCCTTAGCTCTCGACTCTCCACAGACGACTCTAGCGACCCCCTCAGCAAGCGCGTCCACCGGGATCCAGTCCAAAGGCTGGACATGCGCAGGCCAGTACCCAGTTCTTGCGCTAGCTTTGATGATCGAGAACAGCCAACCTTGCACTGGCCACATGTTATACGCAGCGCTCGACCGAGCCGGCCCTCCAATCTGTCCTGCGCGGACAATCGCAACACTGAGGTCCGAGACGGCGTGAGCGCGTGCGAGGAGATGCTCGGCGATGCACTTGCTCTGGCCGTACCCATGGCCCATGGCGCTGGCACGTTCCCAAACCACGCGCTCGGGAATGAGGCGCTGCTCGGGATGCTGGCGTGGCCATTCTCCAACGGCACAGACGGACGAGATGAAAGTTATGCGAGGTTTCCGGGGGCTGGACGTGCAAAAGCCGATGGTGCTGGCCACGGCACTCAGTAGTGGCTGGAAGTTTCCTAGCGGCAGGCCCCAGTGGGGGTTCCAAGCGTTGAAGATGACTTCATCGACAGAAGAGGCGAGCAACTCGTTCTGAACAAGCCCCATTCCTACATCTTGCCGCGTGATATCTGCGACAAGGAAGCGTACGCGGGAGTATCTCCTGGAGCAATGTCCGGTAATGCCCGCGAGAGCTACCAAGGTTCGCTGCTCTCCATCGGCCCGTCTGTTGATGCAGAGAATGTTGGAGCCGGTATGGGTTTGGAGGAGAGATGCTAGAAGATACGGACCGAGGAACCCAGTCGTGCCGATTACAGCAATGGTCTTCTGCCTAACAGACGAGGCATCTGTTCTTGCACTCTGCGCTGGATCCTCCCCGGCATGCTTCGAGTTCCGCTGTGCATTGCAGCCGTTTGCTCGGTAGTCTTGTTGTGTTGCTGTGGAGGACTCGGTGTGCATGTTCAGCGCGGCAGCACTATCAGCTGCGGTGGTGGTGACCATCTTGGCGAGAAACGAGTAACGGAGGGCACTAAACAATTGAGAACCGTAGCGATTCTGCGTAACCAGCTGTCGTGAAGACAAAAAGCCAGCTTTGTTGGCGGTACTTCAGTGCTCGATGTAAGACCGATGTGACAGAGTGACGGCTCAACCACTCTGGATGACGACTTGGCACAAACTAGTCGCCTGTGACGAAACCGCCACATGTGACGCGACCAGTCGTCGCGACCGGTTGTCTAACAAGGGACACGGTCACTTACCACCTGAACGAGTAATCTGCCGAATCGTGCCCCAAGTCGCTCGGGATGCGCATGACTCGGCGTGGCTGACGTGATGGTCCCACGAGCAAGTCGTCCACACGTGGTTTGATTCCACGCGTGCGTGCGTAGCCAGCCATGTGCAGTACGTTGTTCGCTTGCTGGAAGCGGATAGGACGTACATCAACTCGGCGCCCTCCAGCCGACTAGGCAGAGATGACCAGTGTATAAGAGACAGTTTCCATCCAATGCGAGTACCAGCACGTTTCCGACATGGCACCACGAGATCCTCACATGCTTAAGATGTCTACCGAACCCAGCGAAACGCCACACGTCCTCATCCCCGGGCCTCCGGGCCGTCTTTTCTTCGGCAACTTCTGGGATATCGAATCTCGAAACACGGTCGACTCATTGTGCAGACTGACTGATGTCTATGGTCAGTGTTTGGTTGTTGGCCAAGCTTGGCATGCCACAGAAAGACGAGACTAGCGGCTGACTCTTGAAGGGCCAATCTGGAAGTTCCATCTCGGCAGCGAAGAAAGGATCGTGGTTGGGTCGCAGGCTTTGTTGGATGAGGTGTGCGATGAGGCACGTTTTGCCAAAGTCATTGCTGCTAACCTCAAGCAAGCCCGCAACGGCGTGCGAGACGGCCTGGGTACCGCATTCGCCCCGGAAGAGAAAAATTGGGGCATCGCGCACCGTATATTGGCTCCGCACTTCGGTCCGCTGGCGATCCAAAGCACGTTCGGCGAGATGCAGGACATAGCTACACAACTCGTGCTGAAGTGGGCACGCCACGGGGCGGATTACGACATACATGTGGCAAGCGACTTCACAAGACTAACACTGGACGTGATTGCGCTGTGCACTATGGACTATCGCTTCAATTCTTTTTACAGAGAACACATGCATCCATTTGTAGATGCGCTAGAAAGCTTCCTCAAAACGAATGCAGGTCGTGCGAAGAGGATCGCGGCCATGCAACCGCTTCACCTCTTCGAGAATCACACATACTGGGGTGACATCGAGCGGCTGCGAGAGACGGCACATGAGGTCATCAAAGAAAGGAAGAACCACCCGAATGAGAAGAAGGATCTGCTTAACGCCATGTTGCATGGAGTTGACCCTCTTACGAGCGAACGAATGACGGTAGGGCCACCCCATAAGTGGCATCGCCAGCATGGTAGCTGACTTGAACAGGTCGATAGCATCGTCAACAACATGATCACCTTCCTGTTCGCTGGCCATGAGACGACCTCGGGCCTCCTCTCCTTCACCTTCTACTACCTTCTCAGCAACCCCGCAACGTATGCAAGGGCCCAGCAAGAGGTCGACAATGCTATTGGTCGAGAGAGCATCACGCCCGCGCATCTTTTCAGGCTTCCCTATCTCAGTGCTGTACTCCGCGAATCACTGCGACTGTCGCCTACTGTTCCCGCAGTTGCACTCGCCGCCAAAGAGGATACCACACTGGGTGGACAGTACCGGGTCAAGGCCAAGGCCCCGATCATCGCCCTCTTTGCATCAGTACACAGAGACCGACTTGTGTATGGAAGCGACGCCGACGAGTTTCGCCCAGATCGCATGCTCGACAGCGAGTTTGAAGAACGCAACCGACAGTTTCCAAACTGTTGGAAGCCGTTTGGCAATGGCATGCGAGGCTGCATTGGACGCTTTTTTGCGTGGCAGCAAGCGCTTCTTGTCACAGCGACGCTCCTGCAGAGTTTCGATCTGTCCATGAGCGACCCACTGTATCGCCTGAGAACCAAGGAGACGATAACGGTGAAGCCCGAGGGCTTTCGCATGCGCGCTCGACCACGACCGGGTGTAGCTCTACTAACGCTTTCACGGCCCTTGTCGTCAGCAGCTAGTGCCGATACTACATCGAGCAGTTTGGGGCTCCGGGCGGATGCGCCGTCGGCCGGAGCGGTTGACGTGTACTATGGCTCCAACAGCACGGGCGAGCAGCTAGCCAACCAGCTCGCCAGCCATGCAGCAGATCATGGCTTCACCATTGGGAAGATAGGCACGTTGAATGCTGCGAAAGGAAATTTATCGCAAACGAACCCCGTCGTGATAATAGCGGCATCATACAATGGTCAACCCGCTAGCAACGCGGCAGAGTTCGTGGCCTGGGTCAAGACACTCCGCTCCAGTGAGCTTGCCGGAGTCGCTTTTGCCGTGTTTGGATGCGGCCACCAAGACTGGGCCCGTACTTTTCTGAAAATACCCAACTACCTAAACGGCGTGTTGGAGGAACGCGGTGGCATGAGACTGGCTCCCATGGGCACGACAGACACGGCCCACAACAGGGCCGCAGCCGATTTTGCAGCCTGGGCAAAAGACATCTTCTGGCCTGCTGTGCAAAAGAGGTACTGTCACACAGACGTGTCGGCAGCCCAGGATTCAGAACCTGTCGTACAAGCTGAGGTTTTTGTCCCTGAAGCAACGGCGTTGCGACGCAATCTTTACAGGGCTCGAGTCGTCGCGAGCGAGACATTGTCTTCGAACGAAGTTTCTGTCAAGAGCCACCTAGAGATCGCGCTGCCACCAGACATGCCATATCGGACCGGCGATTGTCTAGCTATCCTGCCCCAGAACCCAAGACACATCGTGCGTCGCGCGCTGAATCGGTTGGGCCTGACTGGGGATAGCGTCCTGTCCATCTCCAGTGCTACTTCTACCGCGCTTCCTCTTTGCACGCCCATGAGGGCTGCAGAAGTTCTCCGTGCGTATGTTGAGCTCCAACAACCGGCTAGCAAGAAGAACATACTAGACATGCTGAAAGCGACGGACGACGAGACGTCAACCGCGGAGCTTAAACGCCTTGCGGGCGAGGCCCATCACAATGAGGTTGTTGTCAAGCGCGTGTCGTCGCTCGATCTGCTGGAGCGGTTTCCTGCCGTCAACATCTCGCCCGGTGCCTTTCTTTCCATGCAGCCGCCGATGAACATTCGACGTTATTGCATTTCGTCTTCCCCCCTATGGAATGCTTCCTGTGCTACACTGACATACTGCGCTGCAGACGGGCTGGCACACCCGCAGGCTTCCGGGCCGGCATCAGCGTACCTGTCTTCTCTAGCTGCTGGTGACGAGGTGTCCGTTCGCGTGGAGGAATGTGCTGATAAGTTTCGTACGCCCGGAGCCGCAGACAATGTGCCGCTCGTTCTGATTGCTGCAGGAACCGGTAGGAGACGCTGCATTCCTGTTGCCGTTCCCTCACTAATAGTAGAGGCAGGCATCGCGCCATTTCGCAGTTTCATACAAGAACGAGCAGCGCAACTGGCCACCGGCCGCACCCTCCCGGCTGCCCTGCTCTTCTACGGATGTCGCTCACGCGCGGATCATCTCTACTTTGACTCCTTCCAACGCTGGCAGCAACTCGGCGCTGTAGCTATCCACCACGCGTATTCACGCACGCCAGACCAGTCACAAGGATGCAGATACGTGCAAGACCGAATTTCGCACGACAGAGCCGCGGTTGTGAAGCTACTCATGACAGGGGCTCGCATTGCCGTGTGCGTGCCCGAGTGCGCTGTCGCGGGAGTCGGAGAGACTCTGGTCGACGTCTTGAGAGAGACAAGAGATGCGAAGGCCCAGCGAGCCGTGCTGGAGGCACAGGGCGAGAGCACCGAGATGCAGCCTGCAGACATTCAGCTCGAGAGTGCATGGCACGTATGGAAAGGTGCGTCTAGGGCTGAGGCTTAGGCAGACTAGAAATGCACAAAGGCAATAGCGAGCTGTTACCAGAAAGATGGAGGGAGACAGAATGGCGCTATAGCATGAAGCATACAGCAATCCACTCGCAGTAGATGACACTAGTTCGTGGAGGGAAAGCGATGGAGAGGATTGAGTGAGCACGGTGTATCAACCATAGATATCTAAAAGGTCAGGCAGAGCCTTCGAACGTTAGGAATAGCCAACAGAAGTCGAGCTTGACGATTGTTTGTCATTATCAGGAGACATCAACCAGTGTGAGCATGATGCCATGTGTAGAAGTGCCACGTTCACGCACTAGAGTAATGAAGGCTGATCTTTTGACTTCGCACATGAGCAATCGGCAAGAGGAAGTGCCGAGCTTGCGCACGGATCACAAGGGCATTGTCGGCGCTTGTGTCCCGTGCGCGAAGGTCGCGTCCGCGTACTTGCGTCTGAGTGCGCCGCGATGTAGAACATCAAGTCTCATACCTCCTATTTCGCGATGGTAGCGACACCTCCTAATGAAGAACAGCTCATTGGCGACCTAATAGTGGATACGAAAGAGCTTCTTCGGGGTATCAAAGAATTCCAAGCGGTCAACGCGGCAGAAGCCCGCGGTAGGCCTAGGGAAGCCCACAACAAACGCGATCACAGTAGGCATAGGCCGAGAAGCCCACCCTCGAAGCGGCCAACTTCTGTATTAAAACTTGTGGCACGTTACAAGGGAATTGCCGAAAGATTCCTAGCGCGCCTAGCAGAGACTGAAAAGCGAGAGACGCAGCAGCTGAAGAGACATGGACCAGACATACAAGAGCGGGAGACACTCGAGGAGGCGACACCGGAGCAAGAGACACCGGAGCAAGAGACACCGGAGCAAGAGACACCGGAGCACGAGGTCTCAGCGCTACCCAGCCAAGGGCATGTCGCCGGCCAGATTCCGACAGAGCGGCGGCTTTCGAAGCGTAGAACAGGGAATTCGGATCTGCGTTTCCCATGCCTGCCTCCACAGCTTGGGAAGAACATGGTTGCCACTATCCACCAGGCGCGAACGGCATTACTTTGCCACAACGTCGACGAGCGCGGATATCTCATTCTGCAAGTGCAGGAGTGCTGGGATGCTTCGGAACTCGCGCAACTCCTGCGCGGCGCCGAGGCATTGGATCGGGACGAGATCAAAGGCTTCGCACTTGCTCAAGGAGACGCCGACTGTCTACACGCGCGGGTAGCCGCAGACGTCTCGCTCAACCTCTGCGAAATGGAAGGGTTTGATGAAGCTTGTGTATCCCAGCAGCCAAAGGAAGACCCCCCGGCCGCGTTCAATACCTGATCTGTAAACCCTTGTCTGATCACAGCATCAATACTCTGCTAGATGCTGGCCCGCAGTGCAATCGGCGGCCTGAGATCCCCGGCGTTAACCGGCCATACTGGTACGTCAGCGGCGAACCCAACACACCAGCAACATTGCACATCGAAGACGGTAACACGGGGTCTGCGAACCTGCTACTGGCAGGCGCAGAGAAGCACTGGATCATCATTCACCGAAGCAGCGCCGAGAAACTCGAGCGCTGCATCAGAGACCAGTTCCCAGGCTCGAGAGGATGTTCGCAGTTTGTGCGACACCATGACATCATCGTAGGACCTCGATGGCTCGAGAAGAGGGGTATTGACTTTGAGATCGTGTGCCAGAAACCGGGAGACGTCTTAGTCACTCTACCAGGTCGTGTTTACCATGAAGTCCGAAACACTGGCAAGAACTTTGCAGCAGCTATCAACTACGAATTCACAGACGCCCCCGACGACCCAACAGGCTATGTCTGGTGTGAGAACGGGGAAAGGAAATGTGGCCGAAACGTGCTTACTCGTCAAAGCTTCATGCCCGAATTGGCTGACCGAACCATGGATACTGAGGACGAGACGCCTCTCCGAAACAAGCGGAAGCAGCAGGACCTTGGCAACACTAAGAAAGGATGCAAAAGACATGCCACGCTGGCTCGCCGTCCGGCGAACAGTAGACTTGTTCAGACCTCGCGACCGTCATGCACACCTGTCCCAGCTTCGGCGTCTGTACCGATCCAGGAACGCCTGCTGAATGCCGTGACTTCCCCTGCAGCTCTAGACAACTGCAAAGCACTGGTCCAAGCATGGAGATCCCAGTCGGCTCGAATCGAGCGCGCTCCAGATGCGAGCGACGCAATCGCGAGGCTTGCCGCCTCTGACAGGACGATGCGTCTTGCTCAGCACCGCACCCGGCTAGATGCTCTGCACTTGAAATCAGCACAGTATGCATTCGCTTCGGATCTGAAGTCGAGACGGCAGGGCGCCATTCGCCTCGACAGTTCCGTGTATGATCAGGTGCTGAAAGCGCAGGGCTTCGTCAGCGCCACAAAGGAAGACCGCAAACAACTAAAAGAACGCATGAGACGCGCAAGGAGGATACACAAGATCTGCCAAGGCTTAGGACGTGGACTCCTTTGTCTCCTCCCTCTAACTGACATTCCCGAAAGTCACTACTACAACATGACAGACGCGGATATCGAGGCCTTTCAACGTCTGGCGACTAAGAAGCGCACGCTGCTAGAAGCGCGATGCCAGGTTGGTGTTTTTATCCAGGATATGTTCGTGAAGGATGTAGAGTTCGCGTTCGAGTACGAGGACGTGACGTCATTTGACGGCCTTTCGGAAGCTAAGATGCTCGCGCTCCTGCAGCCCGTCTCTTATCCGAAGGTCAACTCCTATACACCTGCGCGTGGCTGGCCCAGACCACCGTCCTGGCCGTGGGAGTGGGAATGGCCGCAGGATCCTACGTGGGCTCCGCCTGGCGCCTGCGAGGCTTGCGGCGTGGTGGAGTGCGTTTGCCTCGCCGAGTTGCCTCAGAACCGCCATCGAATCGTCGACTATGGCCCGAAAGGACGCGGCGTTCAAGCTCGGGCGGCTTTGAGTGGTGGCTTGGCTTTCACTGCGGGCGACTACATCCAGGAGCTGGTCGGTGAGGTGAAACCGCTGGGCTGGTCCGGCGGCAGCTATACATCAGTCGATTTCAAGAGGCCAGATGCATGCATGACCTGCCGACTGAATTGCGAGGAGAAGAGCAACTGGGTTCGACTGGTCAATCATGCCTGCAATCCCTGTGCAGAAATGAGAGTGGAGATTGTTTTGGGTAAGGCAAGACTCATGCTTCGCGCACGCCGAGACATATGGGACAGTATGGAGATCACGATCGATTATGGGAAAAGCTTTCCCAAAGACGTAACATGTTTGTGCGCGACATGTAGCGAGAGCGCAGCATCGACAAAGGACAGCAGCTAATTAGGGCAACAGACGGGGCAGTCATCAAGGGCGTTTAGACGCCAGGATCTCGGTGTGATATTGTTGCATGACAGACGGCGCAGCACAGCTTCGCTAGTCACGAGGTTAGTGAGTGATCAAGGTGATGTAGAGGCTGTTGTTCCGTCAGGAAGAGACCGCGAGAGCGGATGCAGTTCGAACTAGAAGGAGAGAGAAGCAAACGATGCAAAAGACGCTTCGAGTCTGGACGAATGTCAAGCCATGTTTCTCCTAGAACAGAAGGAGCTGAGCCAGTCTAGAGAAAACCTCGTCTACAGTACAGACTTCGGCAGCTCGAATGACCTCTCTGTGATTTGATGTTATCTCTACAGCATGCTAGATCCATACATGCAGCCTATCATCCCATTCAGCGTGTAATAGACTCCGTTACTGGCTGTGCTAGAGGCAGGGTCCAGTGAAAGTTCGAGACTTAGTGATGTCTTTGGTGCAGGCAGACTTGTGATAGGCCTATCGCAGCTACAAGAGAGAACAAGATCGCCAGAAACAGAACAACGTGAGCAGCTTTGCGAAGCGCGGCCACTATGTATAGTGTTAGCCTATTTTTACGAAGCATTGGCTAAGTGAGGTGACGCACGCAGCGCTGTAGGTTAGAAGACCGTTTACATTGGCAATGCATGTGTCAAGATCGACGGCGAGTGGTACCACAGTTTGGGTAGACTCTTTTAGACAAGTCGCAAAGAGCGTGCTGTCTTTAAGGCGAACGTCTCTGCATTCGCTGATGGATCTAGGCGCGTCGGCGGATTGAGCGGTGTCCGCTACAGGATCGAAAAGGAAGGGATGGTCGGGATCGCCAAGTAGTTAGCGAGAGGAAAGCGTGTGGGGAACCGCGCCCACGAAACCCTTCTTGCCAAGAAGGAAATAAAGGACCCCGAAAGACATGACGGGAGGGTGCATCTCTTCGTTAGCGAACGAGGACGCGTGTGTCGACAAACGTGACAGTAGCTAGGAGAGCTGCACTCAAAAGCGACGGCAGAGCGACCTGCCATGCCTACACAGCGGCAATACTGCTCTAGTCTACGCCACTGCAATCTATATATAAGTACCAGCCAAGTCAGATTTCGGAAGTTCGAACAGCTTACTATTTATTACCAGAGCAGCGCCCGACCATTCGGTGCCGCTAAATTTACCTGCCAACGCTATTTTAGAGATGCTGACGTTGAATAGATTTTTAGTTCGTGCTTACTCCCGAGTGTGCGAAGACGGCAGACCCTCTATCATCATACTACCTTGCCGTTGTGCAGATAGCCAGTGCGCTGAGGACTTAGAGGTACTTTAGACACAGTCACTCTCATACTCCAGTAGCTTCACAATAATACGATGCGGTGCTCAGGCTTGTTCTACTCTGCTGTTCTTCTAGGCTCGATCTTCCAACTCGCATCGGGTACTTGCAATGCCCGACTCCGCCGTCAGACAGCCGAAATCGCCCTACCGCTAAGCGACCTCTGCGCTGGTCCCGAACTCGATGGCAGTTCCTTCACCATCACCTGCTCTATAGGACCGGGTTTCAGCATACCAAGTATCGACTTAAACTCGTGCCTCAACAACGATGATGGAGTGTTGGGATTTTCGTACGTATCACAAGTAGTATGTTCTACTTCGCAGGCTCGGCTACTCACCGCGATAGCCACGGCTCCGCGTTTCTGACTTGTTCTGGATGCGAACTTCAAGACTTGAGGCTTACCTGCAACTGTCAAACGATAGAACACGGCCCCGTGAGCACTATGATCGACCTCAGTAAGTGCAGTGTCTAGCTGGTTTGGTTAGGTACTGACAGTTTAGATGAGGGGGTGTTTCTCAGGCCTGATGGGCAGTTGGCATGCTAGTGGAATGCTTGATGACAAACTGCGTGCTAGCTAGGGAATTTGCGTTGCACTCTTTGTATGTCGACGTCTTTCACGCTAACAAAACTCGGCTCTTCGCTGTAGTCTTACTGCAAGATCATTTAATACTCGATTTAGTTTGGTTAGGGACTAGCTGCCATTGACATGAATAGATATGATACCACTGACTTTTATTCCATTTTGTCAACTATGCTGCCCGTCGACAACAGCGGGGCCTCTCTGTCGACTGTCGTGGCCCTTGTCGGCGTGTGGCGCTGTGAATCAGAGTCTCCATGTGGCCTCGTCGTGCTAACACTCATGTTGGGGTTCTCTGACCGAACGTGCTTGGCTTGATTCGACCTGGATAAGAATAGATGACCGATGTCCCCACTCCAGCCTCTTTATTCAGGCTCGCCGCATCATGAGAGAACTGGACGGGATCAAAATATGCTAATTTGGGGTGGGATGCGCCGCAGGCTGCGTACGTATCTGGCTCCGCACCCTGCGTCTGAGTCTCGCATGGGATTTAAAGATCTCTCCTTGCGCACAATCGGCCCTCAAAGAGAACTACGTGCAAGCGACCGTCGAGAAGAAAACGAAGTCGTTCGTCCGCTACCATGCTAAGGAAGTTGCTGCATGCAGCTGCAACCATCGTTGTCTTTGTGGCCCTCGCTACAATCGCTCTTCAGGTCCTCTGCACGAAAGCCTACGCAGACGCTGGCATTTTAACCCTAAAGGTGCGTGATTGTTGCTTTGCAGTATCTACGCCAGCCTAGTGCAGAAGCTGACCGGGCTTTGGCCAACAGTTCAATTTCACAACTGCGCTCGCCGATGTGCTTCCATCGTCAACGGGTGCACTCCGCGACCGCGACCTACTCGAGGACCTCCAGGACGGAGCCAGAAGCGCTCTGAACGCAGCTGCAACCAGAGTCGCCGATGCCGCTAGCTTGGCGGAAAGCGCAATAAGTTCTGCGGCAGCCGCTGCCCCGAGCCTTGAGGAGTATGTCCCTCGGAACTGCTCGCTGGGCACGATGCGCTTCTGTGTCGGCTACAAGCAAGACGTGAACTGCTCCGACTTACCGCTCAATCTGTCCAGCCTCTTGCCCGAGGGTGTGCAAGAGCTGCCAGGTCCTGTGCAAGACGCTATACGTGACCGTGCAGAGGCCTTGTCGCAGCTAGCAGAGAGTTCGACTAGATTTCCCGCATTCTCCGTCCCAGCCACTTTGATATCTGGCTTGGTCTTGATGAGCATAGTCGCGACGCTCTCTCTAAGCTTAGCGTTTGGGCGGCCGCAGGTCGTCACCAGAGTCTTTGGCAGGCTCAAAGCTGTGCCCAGAGCGCTGGCTCTTCTGGCTCTGGGTTTGATGTGCTGCTCTCCGTTCGTCTTGCTTGGAGTCATTCTGGACATAATTCTCCGGGCGGCCGGTGAGCTGCCATCGTGGGTGGGAGTGGAACTAGGTGAGGCTTGTCGTCTTGGCTTTGCCGCTCTCGCCTGCGCCCTGGTCTTGACGTTCATCTCCGCTGCAGCACCGAGCGCCGCTGTGCATAGGCCAGGAGAAGACGCCAAGGGCAAGGAGTGATTCCGAGCATAGCCGGCGAGAGTGCAGATGATGCGGAGTACTTCTAAACACATACCACGGCGAGATTAGTTTACTCTTTGCACGGTTCGTTGCTTGACCTGCTCCTGACGGACTGGCCTTGGATGGTGTGTTGCAGCGTGTGGTGGTTGTTCAGACACGCCAGTCAGAAGTAGTCACAAGGGCACAGGGTTTAGATTGAATCGTAGTTATTATTTGATATCCCCCACTACTGTACTGTCTATCCCTTGTGGGAAGACGCACCCTGGCATTTCAAAATGCATTACCCAATATCAGCATGGTGTAATCTTAAAATCTAGATCCTCGTCTGCTATGCGCTTTGCTTCTCTCTCTTCTTTCTTAACATACCTTGCTTCATCGCTCGACGTAATCTCTTCAGGGGGTGTTTCCAATCTCTTCCTCTTCTTGACTCCCGGTACGACAGTATGCTTGATGAGTGCATTTTGCCTTGTGATCTTGTCTTCTGCAGCAGCAAGATACTGACAGAGATCCTGCGTGGAAACTGTGATCTTTTGCTCTTCACCGTCGAGTACATCCACTGTAAGCTCTTCGCAGGCAAAGTCGGATAATTGCAGTTGTAGACCTGGGTGATTGGTAGGGTTTCCGTGTTCATCACGGAATGCCTGTAGAATAGGTTAGGGACGAAAGACGAAGATAAGTGGGGTGGGAGCAGCGAATACTTGATTGGAAACATCGGATTGAAGACGGCGCGTCCTTCTCGTACTGCGGAGTAGCAGAAAAAAGATACGGGGTTCGTAGGACGCAGCTGTTGCGAGGGCACCAGAGATTGCAGCGCTTTCACGACGGAGAGGAGCATGAACTTGTACTGTACCTGGAAATGCACAAGGCGAGGCCCCTCCAAAACGTCCAACGAGGAGCAGGGCAAGCAGAGGGTGACTGTCTGCTTCTCCTCGTACAGCTGGTGGAAATCTATTGAGTTGTGGCTCTTGTGACCCAGCATGCAATGGCTGGAGGCGTCACGTGTTGAAGACTTTTGTCCTGGTTTGAGCTCAACAAGCGCGTCGGCTTGTTTGTGTCTTGGCATGGTACCTGCGTTTGCCCCCGTACGTCGCCTTGCTCCTGGCATTCTCATCCAACTCTATCTACCTAGACTTACAGGGTCGCGTCCCGACGCGTACCTCGAGCTTGCCCTACTACGGTAGTTCCACTAGCCGTCCGCTATCCGCGCACACCCTTTACCGCACCCTCGCGCACATCAACAACGCGCCGCGCAACTAGACCAGCTATATTTGCAACCGCTCGACGCGAAGCATAATCCCTACTGTATACAGACGCGCATGCGCACTTCGTCCCGCCGCCGCAACAGTCGACTTTGTGGCCCGATCAGCGTCGAGCGCGTTTTCGTACAATACGCGCGCACATCGTATTCGCGACACGTCCACACCAACGCAAACAGCGCCGTCTTTCTCGTATGCCAATCCTGCGTATAAGGCTTTGGATAGTACCTCACCATGGTCACAAAGCGACGAGCTCCCGGTTCTCGAACATCTTCACACCGTCCACTATCGAAACGGCCTCGAAAGAAACAAAGTGCACGAGGAAACGTCGACATGGCGCCTGCTGGTGCTCCACGGATTGAATTGGGGTCACTTGAGCTTTCCAACCTCGTCGATTCATATTCAGCGGAGCGGCCGCAGTATTTTCAGGTATCCCTCCAGGGTGTCCACAATGAGTTCATGACTGGAAACCGTCTCGAGTCGGGTTATGGTATCGTCAAAAAACTCACAACTGTGACAGGTGTATGGATGAGACCAACAGCAAGCATTAGCGACAATGACCTTCCGAATTGGCCCATTACCCATGACGAATATACTGCGGATTACAGATACCTGTTCCAAGTTGATTTTGACAAAGAAAAGATACCAGCGGTCATGCTTACCATACCCGATCACGCCGTATATCCCTGGCTCTTATCACAACGATATCCTTCCTCAGACACCATAGTCGTGCGGACAGCTTTAGGCAATAAACCACGCTTCAGTCGATCTTGCATCGTTCCCAGGAAGGATTCGCTAGTGGTCATCAAGAAATACTTCGCATGCTCTCATTGCGGAGAACCCCTTCGCGCAGACGCATATGTCTATTGCAGTCGATGCAATACAGTTACGCATTGCGCTTGCACCGAGTCTAGCGATCGACAGCCTTTCGAGTTGCGTAACAACGCGTTCTACGACCTTGACGCTAAGCAAGTACAGTGTCCTACCTGCACCAAAAGCAACGATTGCGGAGAATCGTACGTAAAATCACAGGTTGTCGCCGACAGCACCTCAGGTTCCGTGATGTACGTTTGTATGGATCTAGGCTCTGAGTATACGAAAGTGAGCGCGGCGTGGGGCAACGATAAAACACTTACGCCTTCTTTCAAGAAGGTTGCTGGAACGCCCGTCTCTACCGTCTGGGTTGCCAACAACACGAACGACGACAAACCCACAGTGCATGTAAGCGACGACCGATACGCACCCACTCGGTTGTTCGATAACCTCGAGGTTTTCCAACCAATAAAAACCGTTCTCTTCCAAACGCGTCTGCAGAGCAAGGCGAAGGAGTTGGGAGCAGACATTACGCAAATGTTCCAAGTGTTATTCGAAAACATACTCGAAAAGCTGGGGCTCGCACACGCGCCTGACTTGCGCAATTGGGCAAACACTGCAAATGAAGGATCTTCACAGACCGAATTGAGGCTATCTATTGCCCTTCCGTCCGGGCTTTCTATGGCACAGAAACAACCTGTCAGCAATGCGCTATATAAGGCAGGTTTGATTTTTATGACTAACCTTCGTGTAAAAGATCCGACCATATCTGTGTCGGTCATGTTAGAGTCCGAGATGGCTATGCTTGGCACGTTCGAATCATGCAAGGGGGAGGGTCACGAACCGACAAAGGAGGGGGATTATGTGATAGTCGTTGATTGTGGGGGTACCTCGAGCGTGAGTTTTTGCATATGCCTATCTGCGCATACAAAGCTAATATTTTCTGTCAGGATGGGTCTGTACACAAGTATCGCGAAAACATGAACGGTTGGAACTACGATTGCTTCATGCCAAGTAGTTGCGTTTCCGGAACGATGAATGAAGTTATCCAAATCATCGAAACGTATGAAGAGCTAAGCGCAATGGATTGGAAACCCATTACCGATTGGGTAGTAGGTGCTACCGCAGGTAAGGAGGATGCGAACAAGATATATGCGGGCCTCGATATAGGTAAAGATTGGATTCCCATGCATAAGGAAAATGACGACAGATTCTTCAACTGGGTGTCTAAGTACTGCGAGCAAGCCAAGCAGATTATTGGTAACAACGACTGTCCAAATGTGCGTGTTATATTGTCAGGTGGAGCCCTGGTGCATGGCGACCGTTCCGAACGCTGTAAAGCGATCTTCGACGAGCACCTGCCGGGCTGCGACATTATTAACCAATCCTTCACAGATAACACGTAAGTAGAGCGTTCTGCCTGCATTGCATACCTGACGAAACCCAGGACAAGTCTCGTGCTCCAAGGACTCGAGATCCACGCATGCCAGCGGGATCATACAATCACCAGATCACCAGTGACGATGTTGATCGAAATTGATGCAACACTCGAGCAAGAGAGCAAAGCTCGCAAATATGTCATCCTCATGAACAAGGATGACCCTTTAGCGGGCAATGGTTTGATGCACAAATCGCAGCTCAGCTCGCGCGAGATTATGACGCATGAGGTCTCTTGGCAAGGAGAAGAAGACTGTGAAATTGTATACCATGCCACCCGCAAGAGGGCCGAAAACTTATTCATCTACAACGACCTCCTCGTCACTTCTACAATACCGAAGGCCGATCGTTACACCGCCGCGAGATTGACGCTGTCGAAGCCAAGTGAGAACCCTCATGAGAACTTGTACGTTGCATCTTCGCCTAATCCACATGGCCGAACTATCCTCACAGAACTGTATGTGTTCGACGAACTCGACATCGATGTGATGGCTACTCCACGTCATTTGCTTCAGAGACGAGCGAAATTATATGCCAGTGAAATGCATCCCATGGATACACATGCCACCGACAAGCACACTACAATAGACCTTGAAGGGGGAGGGGGGCTGCAGGCGCCAGAGAACCGTGCTAGCAGCGTAGCATGGCAACCAGGTTCAAGCTAGGACTACAACTCGGAGAATATTCGTTTTTCGCCATATCGGGGACTCTACCCCCTCTTCATCTCGACAATGTAATTCACGATGCTTCCGTTTAGTTTTCAGCGCCGCCGTGAACGCCAATAGAACTGTGGATATGTTTCAGAATTTTATGAGTCACAATCACAATCAGCACGCAATTAACATAGAGATCACGATCTTTGTGAAAGAAAGGGCTAGTGGTCGGCATGCTTTAGAAAGCATCAATGTAAAGACATGCCACTAACATCGACGAGCTAAGATAGCGGACGATAGCAGCGGGGGGAGTTGATATAAGTTACAGCCCCAAAGCCCTCCGTTTGAGTCTCGCTCATGTAAAACATCTACACAGTATGATGATCCTATTTACTTACCCCCATAGTGATCTAGATACTCAATTCAACCTGTACCGACATGGCGACTTCACAACGTTCGCTACCGATCATGAAAGTCTTCTTCCGCTGGAACTAGCGCATCATGGGTCATTTATCCTTATAATCGCTATCATCGTCTTCCAAGCGCTTCGCTACCCTTCTTTCTTGCTTTGCCCTTCATCTCCCGAGCCGATTCATTCTGGATGTGTTTCCGATCGTCTCCTCTTCTTGATGCTAGAACGGAGGATATGCTTGCCTAGTGACTCAAGCCGCTGATCCTTGCGCTCCGCTGCATCGAGGAATTGGCAAAGCTGCCGGCTTGAGAGGTGTGTTCCTTCGTCTTGGTCTCCAAGCTGGTCCTGCACCAGCTCTTCGTGTGCAAAATCGCGAAGGCGAAGCTGCAAGCCTAGGCATTCGGTAGCGTTGCCTGCATCGTCACGAAAGACCTGTTGGGAATATCAGAATGCCAGCGACAGCGGAGAAGTGCACAAGGGACTCACTTCATCTTTAACCTCTTTCTCTGCACGTAGCTCATCTCCTGTAGAAGCATGGCACACCCGCGCTCGCCACACTGTTAATGTAGCCCTGCGTGACTCTTTCTTGCCATACTCAATATCACTTTCTGTGCGAAAGCCGCTGTAACGTCAGATCTCTCCCGGATCGATTTCAGCCGGCTTAGTATGGCGTCCCGAACGTGAGCAATGAACTGTTCGTGTACAGCGGTAGGCATGCGAACAACAAATAGGTGAGTATCGGCGACGTAGTCATACCTGCCCACCTCTCACGTTAGCTGCCATGTCTATCATGTATCGCGTGCACCCACCGTATCTTGTCTTCCACGAACCGTAGCAGCTCCTCGTTTCGGTCGAGCAGTCGCTGCACGTTGTCAAACCCCTCTGGTACAAGCAAGAATTCCGTTCACGGGCGTCAATCGTTATGCTTTCCAGTTCGGATCTCGTGGAAGTGCGCGATAACTCGGGGGGCTGGCGTGAACGGCGTCTCGTCCTTCGATGGCGGCCTCAATGGTGAGCGTATGATATTCGAGGGCGGAGTACTCTTCGCTCTCTGGCCGACCGGAGCGCGCATTGGATCGCCCCGGAAGCGCCCTCTTTCTGTGCGGGTTGTCAGCTTCCCTCTTGGAGAAGTGATGCACTGGACTTGCTTCGAGCAAGCACCTCTCCACCTGCTCCCTCTTTGCGTCCCAAGCGGCGGAGTCAGCTTCTGCCTCCAGCTTGGCTATATCAAGGTTGCGATACGCGGCAGTCAGCCTGTCCGGTGACAGAGTTTGTGTAGCCAATTCGTTGTAGATGCTTTGGCAGACATCCCAGGAGCCTCTTCCTCGCTCCTTGACCTTAGTCTTGAGGATGTAGAGCAGTATCCTGTCGTCGTCGCTGAAAGGGGCCATGCTTGCATACGGCGCATCTGCGGGTAGGCCGTTCTGCGCGAATACTGGGCTGTGCTGCCTGTGGGGCTTCTGCTATCGTGTTGTCACAGTATGCCATCTAACTTCGTGGCAGAAGTTACCGGAGCCGGCGAAACAATTATCCGTCATTCCACAAGCCGCCTGACGTTTCCAACGGCTATAAGCCTGAATACCCTCTGCATTACCCTCTGCATCATTTGTGTGCGACGCGACGGCCTGGGGATCTCACAATAGCGACACCACAGCTCGAGCTTGCATTGGGGGTCGTTTTGGCACAGTACCGTAAGCTCTCAACCTCGCGGAAGATGGCCTGGTCGAGCTCGCATTGCTTGCACCTTTCCGAGCCTTTCCGATAGGCCGTGTAAGTTACACGTACAAGCGGCACAGCTGCACGTGGGTGTTGTCGCAAACCATTCGCTTTCTGCGCGGTCAGCCTCCATCGTCTCAGTCTCGTTCCATTTGGGTCGTGCCAGTGTTGGCCCGTCACGGCCAGAACGGGCTTCGCCTCTACGGCCATTCCTAGCGCCGCCTCTTGCGCCTACCTACTAGATTAGATGTCTGTATTTGTCCTCTAGTCGCCTGATCCGGAGCCCCATCAAGGCCGGTGGAGACAAAAGGAGCCCAACACGAACATGTCTGTTTCAGCAAACCATCTTTAAATTCGACCGTGACTCTCATACCCAACCATACTTCCAGCGTCTCTCGCAGCCAAACATTGTTGCCACAAGCCTACAGCCGTCATGAGCACTATCTTCCAGCTTTTCAGCGAGCTTGATGAGGAGATCCACCAACTCTACGCACTGGAGGATGTCGCTTTGAGAGAGCGCATCAATGATCTCAGCCTGCAGGAAATCGTTTCGCTATGGAAGGTGGACTCCCCGCGCTTAACGAACATGCTCTCCAACGAGATCGATCATGAGGTCGTGTCTCGGGTGTTGGAGCAGCTATCTTATTGTCTGAAAGCAGAGTCGCTCAACGAAATGTCCAACGAACGACGACAACTGATAGTGGGGCATTGGCCCCTACGAAAGCAATACGTCGAGCTCCATAGACTGGCCCTATGGCAACGTATAAAAAACACTATGTATCCGGATGGTCCGGGTGGATTCGCAAGCATACATATCAAGATGCCAAAAAGAATGTCTCATCGTGACATAGATAAGTGCGATTTCTGCAGCTATCCCTACCGTGTTTGGGAGACGTTTGGCATCCTTCATTGTAGGAGGCACAGCGCTTGCGGAGCATGTCTTCAACAGCAGGAGGGGGGCCTTTGCTATGACTGCGATGAGTAACAAGCCATTGTTTAGCTAGAAAGAGGTGTTTTGTGTGGATGGCCGAGGGATGTGAAGGATCACAGCATAGTTAGAGCGTTCTCTTGAATCGAAAGGATACATGTCCATCCGTTGGTAATGGAGCAGCAGCTTTTTCTGTATTGCCTAGAGTATGCCGACGTGATTGCACAGCAGTAACATGTTTCACAAGCGAGTGAGCCATACAAGCGAGTGAGCCACCCCACCAACTTTGCGCACCTTTATAAGCTAGGCGCCCTAGTTTGCGGCCACCCCTAGTTTGCGGCCACCGTGCGCGAAGGCGCGCCCTCCGCTCAACACGCGATAACTCAACAACAGCGCTTATATTTGAAACTGTGTACACATAGATGC